ACATTCTTCCCCCACTGTGACTATCTGGGATCTCAGCACCTTTTTTGGTCTCAGAAGAGATTTTGGTCTCACTGTAGAGATTATGGTTGGGCTCTGATCCTTGCTCCGCCCCCCCCCCCCCTTTTTTTTTTTTTTGTTGGTCATGGATCTTGAACTCTGGGCTTGGGCGCTGTCCCTGCGCTCTTCAGCTCAAGGCGAGCGCTCTACTGCTTGAGCCACAGCGCCACTTCCAGTTTTCTAGTGGTTTATTGGAGATAAGAGCCTCATGGACTTTTCTGCCCAGGCTGGCTTTGAACCGTGATCCTCAGATCTCAGTCTCCTGGAATAGCTAGGACTACAGGTGTGAGCCACTGGTGCCTGGCTATCCTTGCCTGTTAAGTGACCACTGCTGTTTATATTTCAGTTTTATGATTTGGGATTATTCATCTTTAGGAAACCTCTACTAAAAAGATGCTGTTACTCCTTATTTCCTTTTTCATTCATTTACCTGCTATTCTTCCCTCCAATCCTGGGACTTGAACTCAAGGGCCTGGGTACTGACTCTGAGCTTCTTTTGCTCAAGGCTGGCAGTCTACCAGTTGAGCCACAGCACCATTTCTGGTCTTTTCTGTTTATGTGACACTGAGCAATTGAACCCAGAGCTTCATGCATGCTAGGCAAGCACTCTAACACTAAGCCACATTCCCTGCTGCTTTTATGCTTTTTAATACTGTTGTGTACTCTAGGAGATTTTACTGACAGAAAAACTAAAGTACCACTTTGCTTTGAAAAAATTGTTGTTAGGGGCTAGGAAGGTGGCTCAGTGGTAGAGTGCTCGCCTTGCATGCATGAGGCCCTGGGTTCAATTCCTCAGCACCACATAAGCAGAAAAAAGCCAGAAGTGGCACCGTGGCTCAAGTTAGAGCTCTAGCCTTGAGCTGAAGAGCTCAGGGATGGAGCCCAGGCCCAGAGTTCAGGACGCATGGCAGACCAGCGTGTGGTGGTGGTGGGGGCATTGTTAAAGGTGATATACAGAAGGATTACAATTACATAAGTTGGGTAATGAGCACATTTCTTTTTGGACAGTGTCACTGTATCACTTGCTTTCTTACAGTTTTTCCTGCTGTCCCCACCTACAAATTATATAGGACTTTTCCTTTTTTGATGCTTATGTTGGACTTTAATTATGTTCTCAGTTGTGGGTTCTTATCAGAGCTATTTGAGAAAAAGCTTTTTATAACAGTTGTGGGATCTTCTGCAGACCAATTAAACTAGATTCTTAAAAAAGATTTTAATGATCAGCTCTAACCATTGAACCACTGCTTTGTGAAAATGACTTCCCTTAGGAAGGCTCTATACATGTGCATGATAAACTAAGTAATTTTTGATTTTTAAAGTTTTTAATATTTGTACCTTACATAGTATTACATAAGAAATACCATTCCATGCACCTCTTTTTTTTTTTTTTTTTTTTTGGGGTCCCGTCGTGGGGCCTGAACTCTGGGCTTGGGCACTGTCCCTCAGCTCTTCAGCTCAAGGCTAGCGCTCTACCACTTGAGCCACAGCGCCACTTCCGGCTTTTTGCCTATGTGGTGCTGAGAATCGAACCCAGGGCCTCAGGCATGCAAGGCAAGCGCTCTACCACTGAGCCACCTTCCCAGCCCCCATGCACCTCTTTTTACTTATATTTATGTTACACTTGTTTAAAATGACTTATATTTAACTTTCACACATGCATTATTTTATTGGTGTACCTAATCACTTTTTACTAAACAAAATTATCCCTGTCAAAAACAAGTGTTACATAGGAGAAGCCACTATTTTAGCTAAGGTTGTTAGCTCAGAGATTAAATGACCTGTCCTAAGTTTTATGACCTATAAGTGTTGGTAGCTGAGATAGAACATAGGTTTGGTGAACCTTGTATCAGTATTTTTTGAAACACCACTTAGCTATGAGTATTTTACATACCATAAAATATGAAAATGACCTTAAAATTTATCTGCCCATTTACACCTTTCCTATATACTATAGGCTCTTAGTATTTCTATGAATCCAAATCTACTAGTATCTTTAATATCTTTTGATTAGTTTTTTTCTACTTGTATTCTTAATAACTTTCAGAAATTAGACTTGATGGCCAATCACTTTTATTGAGGACTATTTTTAATTTACTGACTTTGTATGTGTGTGCTTGTGTGTGTGCTAGTACTAGGGTTTGGACTGTGAGTCATGTATTCTTTCTTTGTTCTTTGTCCAAGGTTGGCGCTCTGCCAGTTGAACCAGAGCTTCACTTCTGGCTTTATGGTGGTTAATTGGAGAGAAGAGTCTCATGGACTTTCTTGTCCAGTCTGGCTTCCAATCATAATCCTTAGATCTTGGCCTCCTGAGTAGTTAGGATTACAGACATGAGCTACCAGAACTTGGCAAGGTAGCAATATTTTGTAGTAGTAACTAATACCACCCATTCATGGAAATATTTTGAAAATGTAACCGAAGGCTATATAATTGAGAATGCAGTGATTAGTGGCCAATTTTTCGTACCATACCAGTCAGCTTGATCAGTCAGCATATAGATGGTCTGAGCAGGTTTTCAGTAAGTCCTTCCTTACAAAAAAGGTCACTGAGGAAATCTGATGTAGAGCACTGCTTTGACCAGTGACTATGCCTTGCTACCAGATTCTTGTTTGTGGAATTTTCCCACTGTTTCCTTTGCAGTTTGCCACAGATCTTTTGAACTATTTGTCAGATAGTGAAGCTGAACTACTTCTCTTGCACTTGTGATTTCATTTTTAGATGTGTAGAAGATTGTTTATATGTAGAAATGGATTGTTTCTTGTAATATTTTTTGCTGTTTACGTGATTTTTTTTCATTAAAATAGAGCTTGCTTTTTGGGGCCCGCTAGTCCTGGGGCTTGAACTCAGGGCCTGGGCACTGTCCCTGAGCTGCTTTTGCCCTTGAGCCCTGGTCCCACTTCTGGCCTTTTCTGTGTATGTGGTACTGAGGAATGGAACCCAGGGCTTCATGCACGCTAGGCAAGCACTCTACCACTAAACCACCTTCCCAGCTGTTTTTTGTTTTTGTTGTTGTTATTTTAATCTAGATCATGTTACCACTGTCTAGACTCTTGTTTGATGTCAATAAGACAACAAGAAGATGCTTCTTTTGGCAGGTAAACTTTACAGAATTTTGTAGAACTTTTATAGAATATTTTAGCTTTTTGATTTTTTTGTAATCTTATTTATTGAGCTTCTAAGCCACACATTATATTCAGTGCTAGAGAAGTAAAAATGAATATATTTTATGAGTTCTATTTTTGTACTATGGAGGGAGGCATTGTTTCTGGTTATTTTTTATGCATTTTTCATTGTTATTGTAAAGGTGATGTACAGGGGTTGTTTCTGGTTATCTTAAAGGTCCTTTTGCCTTTAGAATTCTGTCATACTACTATCTCTGTTTTGGGATCTCTGTGTAATACTCAATTGACTTTTATTCAGTCCTTTTGAATCACTAACAAATACCCTCATCTTTAAAGCTCTACCCTGTAAAGCACATTTTATTTTCTGCCAATGCTGTGCTTAGCCATCTTGATGCCACCTGAAGCCCAGGTGTATATCTTTTTCTAAGTTAATTCCTTGTTGTGTGTTCCTTTATCCATATTATCCGTGCAAGGTTTCTTTTTCTTATTGCATTTGAACAGAGATCAACTCTTAATAGTAAAATGGGCTTTGATCTAGTTGCCAGAAGGTATACGAATGTCAGAGTTATTTCTGAGCCAGTGATCTCTAAGAACTAGTCTGAAGGCATCTATTGGTTTTAGCTCTGTAGGCCTGCCCCTGCCTACAGTCAGTGTGTTGTAGGAGTGCTCTGTTCACAACTGTTGTTACTTCATTATTGATGTTCCCTTACCAAAACTTGGGTTTGGTGACTGGAAATGCTGTGCAAAAGCTCTCATCTTCTGTTGTTTGGTCTTGGCATTTACTAGGAGCTTGAATTGAAACCCTGTACACGTCTTTTTAAATCAGGAATCAGAGGTGAGACACAGCAAGATTATCTCCCTGTAGTTTGATAAAAGTTAAAGTTACTTAGTTAAGTCTTGCACTGTAAGGTTCTACAAACCTCTCTATTGTATCAACATAGGAGTTTTTCCTTTTGATAATTACATTGCATTTGCTTTATGCATCCAGTACTTAAAACCTTCTATGCCAATAGAGAGACACGTCTTTCCCTAGAAGGCAGAACATAAATGTGTCTAGCTCTGTGTTGCTATGTCCAGTGTTTCCTAAGATGCGTTCTCAGAGTTCACATGCTTCAGGATACCCCCCCCCCCCCCATTATTTCTCAAGACTAATTTAATTTGCCTTGAAATAGTCAGGTAGTGGAGGATGGTGAATAGTTCTGAGTCCTTTTCCTGATAGGATTTCACAGCTAGATTTAATTTGTTTGAAGCATTAAAAAGCCATTTAATTGTTAGTGCCATGTGCTGTAAGGTTTATAAGGTTTATATGGGGAGGAGATGGTGCAAATTGGCAGGGCATATTTCCCAAGATTAAGTATAATGGAATAATTGAGTAGGAATGATGTTGGACTACGTTTGAAGTAAGAGAGAATTAATCACTTTAACACTTTCCCTCTGTACTATTACCTCACATACCTGGGACTTATTAGGAGTCATGCTATCATATAGACAGAGATTTGGAATAGAGAAGTTGGGCTGAGCAGTACAAAGTTAGGCTGGGGTTTGGGAGAAAATGGGTATATTGTGGGAAAAGTACAGGGTGCTAGAGACAGTGGGCATGATAAGACTGTTCTAAACTCTCTAAATGTATGTCTGTCTCTTCCCTCATTTGGCAAGACTTTCTGTAGTGTTCCTCCCTCTGTGTTGTTTGTTAATTAGATTGTAATGTCTGCAAGGGCATGGACACTGTCCTGTTCTAATTAGCATCTAGTGTAGTCTGGTGTCTACAGTGGTTGCCCACTATTAGTTGATGATTAGTGAAGCTGAAGCTATTTTTTAAACAGGGCCCAAGGGATGCAGACAGTGATGAAAACGACAAAGGTGAAAAGAAGAACAAGGGTGCGTTTGATGGAGATAAGCTAGGAGATTTGAAGGAGGAGGGTGATGTGATGGACAAGACCAATGGTTTACCAGTGCAGAATGGGATTGATGCAGACGTCAAAGATTTTAGGTTTGTATATTTTACACTTCTGGTTTTGGAATGTGGGCAGTGGGTTTTGTTCATTCTGATTTTGTTTTATTTAAAAGAATTATTTCTAGAATAGATCATGACATAAAATGATAAATTGATAAGGGTGAAATTTTTAAAAGAATTATTAATACTTGGTATTGTGCAAAAAAGATTGGCTTTATGTTTGTATAGATCTCCAGAATTTGAAGAATGGTTCTGCTAAGATTATTTCAGTAATTCTTGAGTATGGAAATCACCTGGTATAGGTGCCTTAGGGCTTTCCCCATGTTTCTTCTACATTGCTATGTTAGAGCAGCACTGTTACTAGTGGTGAGAGTGTAATATCCCTCTGACATGTTGGGGTAAAAGTGCTGAAAACTTGTGTATTATCTCATTTGAGTTTCCTAAGTTCCTTTCAGGTAGGTTTGTAGGGCATGGATCATTTCCCTCATTTTGAAGAATTAGAGAGGCAGTTTAAATGATTTTTTGATTCATTTATTTTATGTTTTTGAGACAAGGTTTTGCTGTGTAGCTCAGGCTGGCACTGAATTTATCTTGTCCTCTCCTTGGCTTCCTGAGTGCTGGGATTACAGGTGTGTTCCTCCGCACCGCACCGACCAAATGACTTGTTCTTAATCATGATCCCTTTCATAGATGGCTTTCATCCTCTCTCTGGTTATGATTGATTTGCAGACCCTACCCTATAATTTAACATAATATTATATATTTGTCTCAACTGTTGGCAACTATTCCTCAGTTATAAAGGTAAACTTTAGATGATATGGCAGACAATGGAAAAAAATCTATCAAAATCCTTGTTCAGTGGTACATATGTAGAAAATTATAATAATTTTAATGTCAGTCTAAAGCTAATGGGTATGTATTTTCACTTATATGCACACAGCCTTGTCCTTAATATCTACCACAATCATTCTCTTAAATCAGCTTTTGTAGAACAAGTGGCAATCGTTTAATAATCCTAATTTAATTTTTGTATCTTGATCACCTAAAGAATTACAGTCTTTCAAAGTTGAGGCAAATGGTAACAAACACCTGAGATATTTCATGTGTGAGTTCAGGTAGCCTCTCCTCTCTGGGTCTCAGTCAGCCTATGACAATATGTTGTTGTATTTGGATGGGGCAGATGGTATATAAAGGAATATTCCTTGAGTGCAACCATAGACTATGTTCCCTGACTATAATGTTAATTATTACTAGTTTGATTTACATGATATAATCTTATGGTGCTTTTACATAAGGTGGTGGCATATCCTTATTTATACCTGTGTCCCAGGTTACCAGTAGTGCTCAGTTTTGTTCTTTTGGCGTATCCTAGTTTGGACAATAAATTTTATATAAGTTTTAATTTTTAGGATTGTCTTATGAGTAGGAGAGTATCCTCAATGCTGAATTAATTAATTGTTAATTAATTTATATTTTTGGTCAGATGTGGGGCTTGCATTCTTGGGCCTGGGTGCTGCCCTGCCCCTCAACTCTTCAGCTTAAGGCGAGTGCTCTACCGCTTGAGTCACAGAGCCAGTTTTCTAATGGTTTATTGGAGATAAGAGTCTTACAGACTTTTCTGCCCAGGCTGTCTTTGAACCATGATCCTTAGATCTCAGCCTCCTGAGTAGCTAGGTTTAAAGGAGTAAGCCACTGGCGCCTGGCCTAATTAATTAATTTGTTCGGTAGTGGGGCTTGAACTCTGGGTTTGGGCGCTGTCCCTCAGCTTTTCAGCTCAAGGTGAGCACTCTGCTGCACGAGCCACAGCACCACTTCCAGTTTTTTAGTGCTTTATTGGAGTCTCCCAGACTTTCTTGCCCAGGCTGGCTTTGAACTGTGATCCTCAGATCTCAGCCTCCTGAATAGCTAGGATTACAGGTGTGAGCCACCTGCGCCCGGCTTAATTTTTTATTTTTTGAAGTGATTTTCTTCTTTTGGTTTCTTAGGGGAGAGTTTTAATATTGTTAGTAATACATTAAAACTTTATTAGAGTCATTTTGAGAATTAAAATTTCTCCTTATCAATGAACTTTTTCTTTTTTTTTCTTTTTTTTTTTTTTGGGGGGGCTAGTCTGGGGCATGGACTCAGGGCCTGGGCTCTTCCCTGAGCTTCTTTGTGCTCAAGACTAGTGCTCTACCACTTGAGTCACAATGCCACAATGCCACTTCTGGCCTTTTCTGAGTAGTTTATTGGAGATAACCTTACAGACTCCTGCCTGGGCTGGTTTTGAACCTTGATCTTCAGATCTCAGCCTTTTGAGAAGCTAGGATTACAGGTGTGAGCCACTGGTGCCCAGCTATTTCTACCTAGTCTTTTTTTTTTTTTTTTTGGTCAGTTGTGGGGTTTGAACTCTGGGTTTGGGCGCTGTCTGTGCGCTCTTCAGCTCAAGGCGAGCGCTCTACTGCTTGAGCCACAGCACCACTTCTGGTTTTCTAGTGGTTTATTGGAGATCAGAGTCTCACGGACTTTCCTGCCTGGGCTGGCTTTAAACCGTGATCCTCAGATCTCAGCCTCCTGAGTAGCTAGGATTACAAGCATGAGCCACTGGCGCTGGCTTTCTACCTAGTCTTAAGAACCAGCAAAACCAATCTAAACCAGGTCTTGCTTGTACACTCTCTCTCTCTCTCATTCTCTCTCTCTCTCTTCCTCCCTCTCCCTCTCCTTCTCTCTCTCCCTCTCCCTCTCCCTCTCCCTGTCTCTCCCCCCCCCCCCCCCCTTCTCTCACATGTCTTGGGGTTTGAACACAGGACCTGAGTTTCTTAATTGCTTAAAGCTGACATTCTATCACTCGAGCCACAGTTCCATTTCTACCTTTTTTGTAGTTTATTGGAGATAAGAGTCTCACGGACTTTCCTGCTTGGGCTGGTTTTGAACTGTTATCCTCAGATCTCAGCCTCCTGAGTAGCTAGGATTACAGGTATGAGTCACTGGTGCCCAGCTGTAATTTTTTAACTTACTATTTAAACACAGGCTCAGATGTGTGTCTTGTTTCCAAGACATGGAAACCAGCTTCTTCCATTGGCATTTTTCTCCCTTGCATGTGCTGGGTTTGAAATCCAGGCTTTGATCTCTTGCTTAGCCTTTTCATTCAAGTGTGGCATTTTACTGTTTGAGCCACAGCTCCACTTTGTCTTTTTTTCTAGTTATTTGGAGATAAAGAGCCTCATGGACTTTCCTGTCCCAGCTGGTTTCAAACTTTGATCCTCGGATATCAGCCTTCTGAATAGATAGGATTAAAGGCACCAGCCACCAGCACCAGGTTCATTAGCTCTGCATTTAAATATGTTTCTGAGGAAGTGTATTTCATTACATATGTTTTGGTAGACAGTCTCTTTTTATGAATATTATAGATAGCAGTTTTTTCAATTGTCCATTGTTCTTCAAATCTAGACTCTTTTGATAAAGAAATATGAATTTATAGTGGGTAATGCAAATTTAAGAAGTGGGCATGTTGGAAGGCAAGTAACAGATGATATTGGAGGTTATAAACCTGTAAGCAGTGTAAAGGAACTTTGGTTATTTTGTTGAAGTTGCTTTAAGTACTATTGATAAAAAGCTATGTTAAGGACATTATCCTTAAAGTTGGGGTTGCTGTAGTGTCCCTCCCCAATCAAAATATGGTTTAATGCCCTTTACTTTCTCTGTTTAGCCGTACCCCTGGTAATTGCCAGAATTCTGCTAATGAAGTGGATCTTCTGGGTCCAAACCAGAATGGTTCTGAGGGCTTAGCCCAGCTGACCAGCACCAATGGTGCCAAGCCCGTGGAGGATTTCTCCAACATGGAGTCCCAGAGTGTCCCCTTGGACCCCATGGAACATGTGGGCATGGAGCCTCTGCAGTTTGATTATTCAGGCACGCAGGTACCTGTGGACTCAGCAGCCGCAACTGTGGGACTTTTTGACTACAATTCTCAACAACAGGTACTGTGTCTCTTGTCACCCTTTTCTATTCCTTTCAGACAGCACCTTGTTCCAGTAACTAAGATTGAGGGGATGGGAGGACTGTCGTTAGCCAGCTCCTCTTAACCAAGTAGTAAAAGGGGGTTACAGAGCCTTTCTTAAGAAACGAATTTACATGCCAGAGCATTGACAGGAGGGCACCCGCTTGACGTACTTCTGTGGTTCTTCCCTCACCTGAGCCTGCAGAATGCACAACTTTCAGAAGCTCAGTTACTCTGAAGATTTATGTCATTTCCTGAACTCTCCCTTGCCGCCTGAGGAGTGTAGTGTCAAAACCATCCTATTAGTCATGTCTTAATGTTACATTAGTTACTATGCACAGTCTAGAATGTGGCAGAAGGTCTGCTACTTGTTACAAGAGTTAGAATGTGATTAGAGGGTATACAAAGTAGGTCTGCCATCAAATTATTCAGCTTTTATTAATTAGTTTTTTTTTATTAGCTTGCTCTAGTTTTGTAGCGGGAGATTTCATTGTTAAAGTTCTGTGCTTCAGTATGTTCCTTTTTTTTTTTTTTAAGTTAAGGAAGTTAGCTAGCTAAATTACCACAGTCTTGAAATATACTACCAATTTTCTCTGTAATGGAAGTTTGATGGACCATAAATTTTGCTAATTCTTAGTTTTGGACTGGAACATAAAGATTTATGGGTTTCAGAAACTGTAATCTCAACCAGAAGTTTAGAAATTGCACATCCATTAAGTAATTACCTAGTAGTTTTTGGAGATTATTGAGTGACAGTAAAATTATACATTTTGCCAAAATATAGCTGGGTACCCTATGGCTCAGTGTGTAATTCTAGCTACTCAGGAGGCTGAGTTCTGAGTACTGTGGCTTGAAGCCAGCTTGGTCAAAAAAGTCTGTCCGTGAGACTCTTATCTCTAATTAACTCTCAAAAAGCCAGAAGCTTTTGTGGTTCAAATGGTTGAACACTAGCCTTGAGCCAAAAAACAAAGGTACATCACCACCCCAGCCCTGAGTTCATTTACCAGAAGAAAGTTAGGTACAAGTGGCTCGTGCCTGTTATCCGAGCTACTCAAGAAGCTGAGATCTGAGGATTGCAGTTTAAAGCCAGCCAGGGCAGGAAAGTCCATGAGAGTCTTATCTCTAATTAATCATGGAGAAGCTGGAAGTAGAGCTGTGGCTCAAGTGGTAGAGCATCAGTTCTGAGAAAAAAAGCTCAGGGACAGTGCTTAGGCCCCAAGTTCAAGCTCTAGGACCAGCAAATGAAGAAGAAAAAAATCCTTTGAAGAATGATGCAAATATATATCCATTTATCATATTTTATTGATGGTTTTTGCTTTTGCTGGGGGTTAAACCTAGTGTCTTGTGCATGCTGGAGACTGCCCTGCTACTGAGGCTGCACTCCCAAGCCTATATAGGTATTTAGGTTTTTTTCTCTTTAATTTCAAGAAAGATCTTGCTGTGTAGTACAGGCTGGCCTTGAACTATTCATAATTCTCCTGACTGTTGCCTTCTGGATACTGGGATAACAGACCTTTGCCACTACACCAGTCTATAAGTTTTCATTAAAATCCTTTTTCCCCCATAGGAAACAAACTGTGAGAGTACACTATTCTCTGTGCAGTTCCAAGTAGTTATGCCTATCTCCATAAAAATCGACTTTCTATGCAAAAGCATTATTTGCCATTATTTGTACAATGTTTATATCCTCAGGCTTACCCAACTTAACCATTGTTATTTAAGAAGAGTTTGTCTCCAGTCTTTTATGAACAAAAGTCAAAAGTTTCTTTTCCATGTAAATGTTTGTTCTTTATTTCATCATCAGGGAATTGGAATTCTTACTTGGTACCTATTTTTTTCGGTGTCATCCCATTATTATTATTATTGTTATTATTATTATTATATAGTTGTACAAAGGAGTTACAATTCCATAAGTCAGGTTATGAGTACAGTGTTTCTTGGTCAGTGTTACCCTTTCCTTTGTTTTCCCCCATTTTTTCCTCTTCTGTCCCTACCCTCGTTAAATAGTTCATTTTTTATATAATATACAATTATTTACATAGTATACATTGCATACATAGTATATTCCTATGTGTTACATATTCTATGTATATTAAATATACACATATAAATTATATATAACATACACTTTTTACATACTGTACAGTGACCGGTTTGATCTTGAACGGATAGTTGGAAAGGATAAGAGAGCAGAGGTATGGGGAGAGGAATGATGGTGTGAGGTACAGGCTGACTACTGTAGAGAAGAGGAGCCAGGTATAAGTCTTACAATAAGAGTTATATCTGAGATAGTGGAGCTAGGGATCTATAGTGGCATGTGTTTTTTTCATATTCTCTTTGGTTTGAGTTTCTTTGATGAACAACAAAGATGACCATCTTTCTTAGAGGCTACAAAGAGTAGAATGGTTAATTCTGGTTAATTTCCTCTTGTCTTCCCAACCTCTCCTTATTTCCTTTCAGTCAGGTAATAATAAGCTGGTGTAATAAGCTGGTTTTATAAAAATTACTATCAACTTACAGCATGGAGTGGCCTGAAAGTAGAGGAAAGGCAATTTTATTTTAGGTGACTGCAAACTTTCACTGCATTTGCAGTACCTTGGGTTTGGATTGTTAAGTTACTTATCTAGTCACTGTTACTTTTCTTTTTGTTGCCATAATGTGGTCCAAACTCTGTGTGTGTGTGTGTGTGTGTGTGTGTGTGTGTGTTGTGTGTGTGTTGTGTGTGTGTGTGTGTGTGTGTGTGTGTGTGTGTAATAAATTCTTCCTTCAGTTTTGTGGGCTGTGTGTGTGTGTGTGTGTGTAATAAATTCTTCCTTCAGTTTTGTGGGCTGCTGCCCAGAAAATTTTTATTTTTTTGGTTAGTCAAGGGCCTTGAACTCTGGGCCTGGGTGCTTTCTCACTTAGATCTTCAGCTCAAAGTTAGAACTCTACCACTTGAGCCACAGCACCGCTTCCGGTTTTCTAGTGGTTGATTGGAGATAAGAGTCTCACCGACTTTCCTGTCCCAGATGGCTTTGAACCATGTTCCTCAGATCTCAGCCTCCTGAGTAACTAGGATTACAGGCGTGAGTCACCAGTGCCCAGCTTCTTATTTGTTTTTGTTGTTCTGGAGATCAAATCCAAAGCCTTGTGCTTGCCAGGCAAACTCTCTACTGCTCATCTGCATTACTGGTCCAGAATGTTTAATAATATATTGTTTTCTGGGGCACTGGTGTCTCATGCCTATAATCCTAGCTACTGAGGATGCTGAGGTTGGAAGATTGATTCCAAGTCAGCCCAGGCAAATAAACCTATGAGACTCTTTATTTTCAGTTAACTACTAAAAAGCCAGAAATTATGCTGTGGCTCCAAGTATTAGAGCACTAGACTTGTCCAGGCCCTGTGTTCAAGCCCCAAGACCAGCACCAAAAAACAAACAACCCCCCACATACACAGAGTTTGTATAAAGTTTATATGTATACTATACAGAAAAATTACAAAGACAGTCATATATGAATAACTGCCAAGGAAGTGGCGCTGGCGCTGTGGCTCACGTGGTAGAGCACTCTCCTTGAGCTGAAGAGCGCAGGGACAGCGCCCAGGCCCAGAGTTCAAGCCCCACGACCGACACCCCTCCCCTAGTCCCTCCCCCTCCCACAAGAGAAAAAAAAAGAATAGCTGCCAGGCTGGGAAGGTGGCTCAGTGGTAGAGTGCTTACCGTGTATGCATGAGGCCTTGGGTTTGATTCCTCAGCACCACATAAGCAGAAAAAAGCCGGAAGTGGCGCTGTGGCTCAAGTGGTAGAGCGCTAGCTTTGAGCAGAAGAGCTGAGGGACAGCGCCCAGGCCCAGAGTTTAGGACCTAAGACTAACTCCTCTCCCCTCCCCCTCCCCCCCCAAAAAAAAAAAAGCTGCCAAGATATTTAAAAACAAATTCATTGTTACATTTGGTCCTTCCTGATGCATGAAATAGAAGTAGGTAACGTGGCATAGAAAACACATATGAAGCCGGGCACCGGTGGCTCACGCCTGTAATCCTAGCTACTCAGGAGGCTGAGATCTGAGGATAGAGGTTCTCAGCCAACCCAGCTGGGCAGCAAAGTCAATGAGACTCTTATCTCCAATAAACCACTAGAAAACCGGAAGTGGGACTGTGGCACAGGCGGTAGAGCACTCGCCTTGAGCTGAAGAGCGCAGGGACAGCACCCAACCCAGAGTTCAAACCCCATGACTGACAAAAACAAAAAAAACCCCACATATGATATTTCTATTCGTAACAGAATCATGGGTGAATGGCTGATATTACTGCTTTTACCTATAATCGTAATTAGAAGAGTATGCTAAATTTCAGGTATAGACTTTTGTGAAAGTAGAAGTGCAATATTGTCTATGTAAGCACAATCATTGTATATAAAGAACCTGTGGCATAGAGTATTTTCTTAGCTTGAAATGCTCATTGATATCTTTGACCTGTTCGCCCTTTTTGCTTTCCTAATTGTCTTCTCAGTCCTGGATACAGCCAGGCATAGTTTATACATAACATGCTTATGTCATTTTGTGTTATAATTCTTATGCAGTATTTTTTATGAAGTGTTACATTGTTGCCTATTTTATACTTTCCCAAATATATTTTAGAAGATTTGTTAGATTTTATATGTTACAACCATATTGCAAAACACAAAGCCAGACTTAATCGCATTGTTGGTAATGTGTTATTTAGAATTCAGTTAATCCCAAAATAGCCTGATGTAGCATGTTTCCAAGATTGTATATTTTATGTAGACCTAGTCTGTTTGGAGTGTCAAACACTACTGCAGCATGAGCACCTACTGCTGTCAGCAGGCTACAAAATAACCAAGAGGGAAGAAACCTATTTAGTTAATGTTGTTTGGGAATACTTTTTACATTGTATGTGTTTCAGGCAAGGCTATAAATAAAGTTGGATGTGAAGATAGGATAGCTTCTTCTGTGGCAGTTACCATTAGACCTCTTGCCCACAAAGCCATGCCTGGGTTGACTTGTGTCTGGGGGCACTTAAATTAATCAGAAAAAAAAATTAGGTATAAAGAACTGTAATTCTTCATATGTGTTCATTTTAAAACACCATCAACTTTATGAGCTAGATATTTTGTTGTTGTCTTCTTAGAAAGGGAAGGAGATTGAGGCATAAAGATTATTATTGACCCAGAATCTTATTTTTGGGTGGCAGTGGAGTGGGCCTTATAAGTTGCTAGACACATACTCTACCAGTTAACTGCACACCCTAAACCTATTTGCTTTCATTGTTTTTCAAATAGTCTTATGATTTTGTGAGTCTGTGCATATGCATGTGTGTGTGTACTAGGACTGGGGCTTGAAGTCAGGGCCTCCCTCTCTGGCTTTTAGCCTTTTCTCCTTTGCTTAGTTCTTTCAGCTCTTTCAGGTACTCTCCTACTCAACCCACAGTTCTGCTTCCTACTTTTTGGTGGTTGATCAGAGATCAGAGACTCACGAACTTTCCTGTTAGGTCTGTCTGGCTTTAAACCACAATCCTTAGATCTCATCCTCCTGAGTAGCTAGGGTTATAGTCATGAGCTACTGGTGCCTATCTAGCATGTCAAGTTTTTCCTGGGCCAGCCTAGACTTCTTTCCTCCTGTATGAGCCTCCCACATGGCTGGGATGATAGACATATGCCATATACCCAGCTTTTTATGTTTGAGATGAGGTCACGTGGACCTTTTTTTTTTAAACCCAGGCTGGCCTTAACTTTTTTTTTTTTTTTAAGATGCCAGTGGCATTATCTTCACTCTCTTGGGCTGTAATAGGTTATCTTTGAGAAGTCATATAGTAAGGGTCAGAGAAGAAAGTCAAACCAGTGTGTAGGTTTCCCATTGTGCCTTGAGTAGGAGCTCTGATATGCTTGTAGTAGTGGATACATATCTCCCTTCATTCGTACTCTTGAACTACTTTGGAATTCCATCTGAATGAATGGCACTCAGCAGTAACACATTTGTCACTATAGTGACCTCACGGTTGGTTTGCTTTGTTGAAAATCACCATCATATTAATAGACCTCAGTGTTATACCCCACAGATGGCATTTGTGTGAGTTTTTTCAATAGTCTTTGGAATCTGCCACTTGCCAATGACCCAATTTTATTTTGAATACTCCATTTTTCTAGTTAATATTATACCATTTACATAAAGAGAATATGGCAGAATTGCTATAATCTAGGCTTTAATCAAATCTACTGGCTGTGCACCCATAATTTGCTTTTGTTGAATTGTTTATACTGCAGAAGAAAAAAATTCTTCTTTTGTTCACCATAATGACTAAAAACATACTAATCTTCTCCCCTCCCCCCCCCCCCCCAGCCAGTCCTGGGTCTTGAACTCAGCCTGGATGCTATCCCTCAGCTCTTCAGCTCAAGGCTAACACTACCACTTGAGTCACAGCACCACTTCTAGCCTTTTCTGTTTATGTGGTACTGAGGAATCAAACCTGGGGCTTCATGCATGCTAGGCAAGCACTCTACCACATTCCCAGCCCCTTAATCATCTCTTAAACACAAGATATAGGGCTGGGATGTGGCTTAGTGGTAGATTGCTTGCCTAGCATGCATGAAGCCAAAGGTCTGATTCCTTAGTACCACATAAACAGAAAAAGCCGGAAGTGCCACTGTGGCTCAAGTGGTAAAGTGCTAACCTTGAGCAAAAGAAGCTCAGGGATAGTACCCAGTCCCTGAGTTCAAGCCCCAGGACTGCCACAAAAACTCCCCACAAAACCCACAAGATCTAGGGTTCTTATAAGACTAGTCTGTTTAATGAAATGTAATGACTTCCTATTTTGAAATGTGGGTAACATAAAATGGTGAGAACCAGTCTTCACTAATACGGGATTACTGTTGTAGCACAAAATGGTGAGAACCACTCTTCACTAATACGGGATTACTGTTGTGGGTAATCCTCTATATAGAGAGGTACAGCATACATATATGTGAAAGAATTAAAAGCGTATGTAGAGAAGACAAGCAGATGGAATGGCATTAGACTATGTTTTTGATTAATAAGTCAGGTTAGAGCGACAGATGGAGCATGTTTTCTCTTATATGGGGAAGCTAGATCTAAAAATACATTGGGACATGATAAATTATACGGGACTCTAGGGCATTCACACACAGTGAAACCAAAGGAGGACACTCTTAGGGGGAGGAACACAAAGACACAATGCCTATGTGCCTCTGATCATATAAAATATTTATAGAAATGAACTCCAGGAAATGGAAAAAAATAAGTCAGGTTAACATCAAGAGTTAACTCTCAACCACCTTTATTTCCCTAGCCCCTTCCATACTTAGCTTGTTATTTTTTTACCTATTAAAATTAAAAGTTTCAGTGAAGTGAGTTACATTGTTTGTAGTGGGGATAAACTAGGTAGTGGGGGGAAAGAAGGGAGGGGGGAGAGAGGAGCAAGCAGGAATGTCTGAGATGTTAGGCCAGGAAAATTCCAGAAATCTATCAGCAAGACAGTAGATGTGTATTAGAACCATGAAGTATTTTGATAACTGTGGGAACAATTTTAACAATAGCTTTTGCTGTGTTTTTGTTGTTGTTGCTGTTTTGTTTTGCTTTTTGTTTTTGTCCCCTGCCTGCCCATCTTGGGTAGACTGCTCACTCCTGCTAAGCTAGCAGAAAGCGAGCTTTGGAAAGCACTTTGCAAAATGTAGTGACTGACTCAGTTTCTCAAGGCCATACTACTGTGGTGGGTTTTTTTGCTGGTCCTGGGGCTTGAACTTAAGGCCTGGGTACTGTCCCTGAGCTTTATTGTTCAGGGTTAGTGCTCTACCACTTGAGCCAGTTCCCTTCAGGAGTTTATTCTCATTGACTTAACTCCCATGGCTGTCTTTGAACTGTGATCCTCAGATCTCAGCCTCCTGAGTAGCTAGGTGTGAACTACCAGTACCTGGCTGGCCATATATGTTTCTATGCTTGTCATTAGATTCAGTGTCTCTACTTTAACACTTGATATTTAACAATGCCTGTAATGTAGTAACCTCCCCCCCCCCTTTTTTTTTAACCATCATTACTTTAACATGTAATATAAACTTTTGCAATTTATTTATGGTTACTTTTCACACTTGTACTTTAAAAGCGAAGACTGGTTCTGATTATTAGAAAATGGTAATGTGAAGTTGATTATATATTCAAAGTATTCAACTTTTGTTTCCTTCTAATTTAAACTCAGATTACTTTTATGTTTGAGGCATAGAGTTTGGATTATTTCTCTTGCCCAGGATGATGATGATGATGATTATGCTGAGCTGGTAGAATGACCTTATTTCTTATTGTTTGAAGCACTTAAATCTCTTAATGAATAGATGCAATTCATGTTCTGTCATATAATTTTATATCATTCAGTAATGCCAGTTGAAAACTCATATAGAAAGAGAGGGTCCTATTCAGGGCAGTCCCTTCAGGGCTTCTTATGAAGGCAATCATAGTACCTTTTCTTGTATCAGTACTACTCAGGCTAACATGAAATCTTCAAGAAGGCTATGGTTAGGTTTTTGAAAATTTCATATCCCTTTTCTACAAAAGGATGAAAATAAAGAAAATAGTAATTGACAGAAGGTGAAATCATTAGCTTGCCTCAGATATATCTATCTATCTAGATAGATAGATAGATATATAGATAGATATATATATCTAGATAGATAGATATATCTGAATCTTAACCAGGCTCTAAGAACATGAGGAAGGCATGGCTTTACTAAGATTATGGAGTATTTGGTATGTCCATATCAAATAACGCAATATAATCCATCAAATATTGATGCTGTACCTATGTTAGGAAGTGAAGTAATTCAAAGTAGTCATGTAGTTCCCTTCCCCCAGTGTAGGTATTTTATTCCCTGGTATATCCATAGCTCCTTGGGCAGTGTCCTGTAAGAATTACTTGTTTCATAAATGTTGTATGAATGAGTTAATGACTATTAAGATAAATAGTGGTGTATTTTTAGTGGTAAGGTCTTTGATTTGTTTTGTGAACTAAGAAGTGTGCTAGGTATGAGCTCATAATCCAGGTATTGTTAGTAGCTCTGCTTCTGTTTTCTTCACTGTATGTAATGGGTATCCTAGGAGCCATCAGAAGTTGGGTAATTGTCTCATTTATTTAGTAGGAGAAGCTACTAGATCTGGAAGGTATATAATACCATTTTTCCAGTAGAGGCAGACTACTGGGGAAAAAAAAGTAAATCCTTTTCCACATTGTCCAAAACACAAATAGGTGAGTTAATTGAAAGTACTGGTTGGATCTTGAAAAGGGAGATGATAGCACTTGGGGCAGCATGGCAAGTCATTTTGTTCAACATTTTAGGTTTCCTCGAACCAGTCATGTGAGTGGAGCTTTTGTATTTGCACTTATGTGTGTGGTTTGGGGAACATATAAGTCTCTGATGCGGTCAGAACAGGTCGAGATAGGGAAGGAAAACAGAACTGCGAAGTGTCTAACCCATGGGAATGAAGTATGAGAACATTCAGTTTTGTGAAGGTAGCATACCTCAACAGGAGCTTATTGAAAATTTTAATAAGACTTTAAAGTGATTTTGGATGACAATTCCTCTGACCACAATGCCACGTCTTTCTCTTTATCGCAGCTGTTCCAAAGACCCAACGCACTCGCAGTCCAGCAGCTGACGGCCGCTCAGCAGCAGCAGTATGCCCTTGCAGCAGCACACCAGCCACACATTGGTGAGTCCCAAGCCCAGCGCCCAGCTCTGTTCAGAATTCCTGGATGCTGTCACCCCTGGTAGTTCAGACTGAAAGCAGAAGCCACACAGGACATGCTTGATGGGTTAGATGGGATGCCGGCACTTGGGAGGGAAGTGAGGGCAAGAAGATGGTTAATTCCGGTCAGCCTAGGCTGGATAATGAGTTTGTATTCTCACAGAGTAAGTACATCCAGTAAGATCCAGTCCAAACCGCCCCCCCCCCCCCCACCAAAAAAAAAATCCATGAATCCCCTATACAAAGTAAATGAGCTTTCCTTTTTTTTTTGGTCCGGTCGTTGGGCCTGACCTCTGGGCCTGGGCGCTCTGTCCCTCAGCTCTTCAGCTCAAGGCTAGCACTCTACCACTTGAGCCACAGCGCCACTTCCGGCTTTTTTCTTTTTGCTTATGTGGTGCTGAGGAATCGAACCCAGGGCCTCAGGCATGCAAGGCAAGCACTCTACCACTGAGCCACCTTCCCAGCCCATGAGTTTTCCTTTTGTCTAGTCACATTCTACATTTTTGGAACCAGAATTCACAAGATATCCTTATTATCCAGCTCTTTCTCCAACAGAGATGTTTGAGCATTTAAAAAGTATTTGCTATAGAAATGATTAGTGACTAGTATTCGCTCATTTGGTAACATTTGGACAACATCGATTATATAAATTGGGCTTGTTTCTCATCTTACTAAGTAACAAGTAGGACCTATAAATTCATTTTTAAAGCACTGAAAAAGTTAACAAGCTGTCCCCTTTTCTTGTAGCAATAAAGTTTTCATGGACATTTTAGTTTTGTTGCCTAGGCTTTCATCCCGAGTGGACCTTCTTCTTGTTTTTCCAAACAACACCATAATTGTAGACAACTAGAGCTAGGAAATCTTTTTATCTGCCAAATGCTGTGATTGAGTGGAGAGGAGATTAGCAGTCTTAGATGTGATTTGCTGTGAGAAAGAAAACAAACCTTGCTTGTGTACTGGATGAATTTAAGGCCAAGCATAAAGCTCTTTGCCTGGGTCTAATGCACACCTGTAGATCTTTAATTATTGCCCATACATTTTCTTTATGGAATGCTATATGGAAAACTGCCTTAATTGGAAATATTAATTGGAAAATTCCTTCTGTAAGTCTTACTGTATTTTTTCTTTCTTTCCTTCCATCCTTCCTTCTTTCTTCTTTCTTTCTTTCTTTCTTTCTTTCTTTCTTTCTTTCTTTCTTTCTTTCTTTCTTTCTTTCTTTCTTTCTTTCTTTCTTTCTTTCTTTCTTTCTTTCTTTCTTTCTTTCTTTCTTTCTTTCTGTTAGTCTTGGGGCTTGAACTCAGGGACTGGGCTCTGTCCTTGAGCTTCTCTGTGCTCAAGGCTAATACTCTACCATTTGAACCACAGTGACACTTCCAACCTTTTCTGTTTCTGTGTTACTGAGGAATTGAACCCAGGGCTTCATGCATGCTAGGCAAGCACTCTACCACTGAGCCACTTTCCCAGTCTTAGGACTAGTTTTCTATCAAAGACTCATGAGCTTTATACTTTCTTCTTTATGCAGGTACTGAGAGTTGAATTGACTCTATTGTTATACTAAACAAGTCCACATTAAGCAAAGTATTCTCTCATGCTATCAATATGTTTAGTTTTACAGAAAACACAGTTTGATTCATGTTTCTTATTGTATTTTAATAATAAAATTAAAACTAGTTTAAGGGCTACAGATAAAGCTCATTATAGATCACGTAGCATTCATAATATAAGGCCCCGAGTTCAATCCCCAGCACTGCAAATAAAATTCAACAATAAAATGAATTGTCAATTAAAAAAAAAAGTTGCCTTTTTAGTGCCAGTACTGGGCCTCTGCATGGTCACTGAGCTCTACCACTTGAGACACAGCTTTACAATAGACTTCTTGGTAGCCAATCAGAGATAAAAAGTCTCATGAATTTATCTGCCTGGGCTGGCTTTGAGCTGTGATCCTCAGATCTCAGCCACCTGAATAGCTAGGATTGTATGTGTGAGCCATCAGCACCCAGGCCTAATTGTCAAAACTTTTCTATCTTCTTCTTCTTTTTTTTTTTTTGGTTGGACATGGTGCTTGAACTCTGGACCTGAGCATTGTCCTTCAGCTCAAGGCTAGTACTCTACCACTTGAGCCACTGCGCCACTTCTGGTTTTCTGAGTAGTTTATTGGAGATGAGTCTTATGGACTTTCCTGCCTAGGCTGGCTTTGAACTGCATTCCTCAGATCTCAGCTTCCTGAGTAGGTTTACAGGTGTGAGCCACCGTCGCCCAGCTTGTCAAAACTTTTTAATGATGAAGTTGTACTGAGTTGAAGACTATATAAATAGGAACTAGAGGTGTGGCTTAGTGGCTGAGTGTTTATCTAGAATTTGTGAGGCCCTGGGTTTCAGCTAGAAAACAAAATTTAATAGCTTTCTTCCCCTCCCCCCTCCCCCTCCATTGAGGTTAAACTCAGGACCTTGCACTTGTTAAGTAGGCCAGTTTAAGTATTTCTTAGCAATAGTTAAAAAATGTAAACAACAATCCAAAAATCTGGGCCTGGCATGGAGATCAAGAAGGTTGGGTTTTTCAGCCAGCCAGTGCAAGAAGTTAATGAGAGCCCTCATTTCTACTAACAAGCTAGGTAATGCATACCTATAAACCTAGCTATAAAAGAGGCATAAGTAGGAAGAGAAGCTGGCTAGTTCAGGGGAATGAAAAAGAGTAGATCATGTTTTTAAAAATAACTAAAGCAAAAAGGCTGAGTACAAAAGGACCAATTTATTGAGTGCTTGCCTAGCAACCGTAAGATCCCGAGTTCAAATCTCAGCATATACTATTACCCTTCAAAGCGGGGGGGGGGGGGGGGAGCCCATAGTGAAAATGAAGGCTAACCTGGGCATGATGGCACAAGCTATTATGTCAGCACTTGAGAAGATGAAGGTAGAGAATTGCCAAGTTCAAGGCCACCCTCACCTACATAGCAAGATCCTATTTCAAAACAAATAAAACACTAGCTGAACACTACTACCATAAATTGGTAGTTTGAACGTTATTTTATGTTTGTAAAAGCCCTGTAAAATTCCTGTTTCAGCCTGTCTTCTGTTCCCCTGATGTACAGCCTAGAATGGTAGCCAAACCATGTAGGTATTTGTTTGTTAAGGCTGTAGTTTTGGTGTGTTTTACTGACAAGTGTGTTTTCAGCAGGTTTAGCTCCTGCCGCGTTTGTGCCCAATCCATACATCATCAGCGCTGCTCCCCCAGGGACGGACCCCTACACAGCTGGATTGGCTGCAGCAGCTACGCTTGGTGAGATAATCTGCACAGAAGGACTTTTCTCAATACGAGAAAGTTCTTTGTTTGGCAGAGGCATGCATTCTTTATATTCTTCCAAAATCGTATATCCAATAGAAATATCTCCTGCTTTTCATTGGTAACCATGTGCTAGCTAGATAACTCTGCTTAGCTGTTATACAGGAGGTGTTTCTGACTCCAGCATGTTGAAAGGGAGGTGATCACCCACCAGTTCTCAGAGCTCATGAATCCCACTCCAGTTGGAGTCATGGCTCAGGTGGTAGAGCACCTGCCAATGAGCAGAAATGTTAGATACAGAATTGGAGTCCTGGTCTTAGACCAAAAATAAATAAATAAAATTAATAAATAAATGGAATCTCTCAACCAGGTCTACTGCTGCTTCTCTGTCATAGTTCTGTCTTTCTATTCGTCTCTTACCCCTAATGTCCTTGCTTCTTTCCCACCTCTGCTTTCTTTAAATTGACCATAAATATACACAAAGCTTCCTCATTCCACCCTATATCCCAACTCTTTTAAAGTCTCTTCAGATGTAGTACACATCAATTACTGTCAGACATGGTTCATCCTTATAGCCTATTTGGAGTGTGATGTTTATTGGGTTTGTTCCCTTCATTTCTAGGTTTTCTTTTCCTTCCTTCCTGACTCAGTCCCTCCTTCCTTCCTTCCTTCCTTCCTTCCTTCCTTCCTTCCTTCCTTCCTTCCTTCCTTCCTTCCTTCCTCTCCCTCCCTCTCTCTCCCTCTCCTCCATCTTTCTCTCCCTTTCCCTCCCCCCCCCCCCTCTTTCTTTTTCTTTCTTTCTCTGGTCAATCATGGAGTTTAAACTCGGGGCCTGGACACTGTCCATGAGCTCTTTGGCTCAAGGATAGTGCTCTTCCTCCTTTGAGCCACAGCTCCATTTCCAGTTTTCTGGTAGTTATTTGAGGATTAAGAGTATCATGGATTTTCCCTCGTGGGCTGGCTTGGAACCATGATCCTCAGATCTCAGCCTCCCGAGTAGCTAGGATTACAGGTGTGAGCCACCAGTGCCCAGCTTTGAATTAATATTTTAAATTAATGTATATAATCTGATGATTAGTATTGGGATCATTTGTGTGTTGGTGCCACTTTTTTCTTCTCTTGAGTGGCTGCCATTGGCACACACCACACACTGTTAGCAATACCCATCAGATTCCAGCTTAGCTCAGTGTCCTCACACTCTTAGTCTTTTCTAGTAGACTCTTTTCCCCAATTTTTCCCTGGAAAGTGCCATGGCTGATTTTATTATAAGACATGATCACAACTATGAGCACAGTACAGAATAGCCTTTCTTAGGTTTGTGAGGGGAGCATATTTAATGTAGATCTCACCTCTACCTTTGGGGGAAAATAGTTTTTTCTAGTAGAGTGACCTTTGTTAACTTCCATTAACATTTATCTCATACTTACGCACTTGGCAGACATAGTCTTACATACTTGCCTTTCACATGAGTTCATAGATGGTGATTTTCAGTTTGGGAGTTGGAGTGCTGTCTTATGTGAGGTCATACAGTCTATGCTTACACTTCAGTATATCATACAGAGTGGCTGTGCTATCTTGAGTTACCTTTCTTTTGAAGTCCTTTTTTATATTAATATATTCCTTGAAACAAAGAACAAGGGATAACATAATTGACAGTCAATGAAGTGATAGTTTGATGATGAGAACCTTGTTTTTTGTAGTCATCATCTGAGCCAGGCTGCATACTTTCCACATAACAGGAAATATTAACTACCCAAATGTGGAACCTCTGTATTGATAACACAGGAATGGAAGCAGGAATTTTGATGCTCTAAACACAGCAATTAATAGCTCTGAGATATCTTCCTTACTTGAATTGTAGGCCCCGTGCCACTTAAAATAAGTAAAGGTAAATCTAAATGCTTATGGTACTATCCCAGTGCTGGTGTGGTGCTAGTACTGGGTGTTCTTTGTTGGCTTTTTGGGGAGCCATAGAACTACCATTGCAGGTGCCCACCATCTTTTCAAGGTGGTTACATTTCCTCTCCTCTGCCAGCACTTAGTATACCTATTTATTGTATAGTGAGGAAACTTAAGTACAGATTGAGCCTTTGATTTTTTTCTTACTGTTTCTTTATATTATATATATACACACATACATATATATATATACATATAGACACGTATATACATATATATATATACATATTTAATTAATTTATTTTTATTTTTTTATTTTTTGGTCTGTCATGGGGCTTGAACTCTGGGCCTGGGCGCTGTCCCTGAGCTCTTCAGCTCAAGGCGAGTGCTCTACCACTTGAGCCACAGCGCCACTTCTGGTTTTCTAGTGGTTTATTGGAGATCAGAGTCTCACGAACTTTTCTGCCCAGGCTGGCTTTGAACTGTGATTCTCAGATCTCAGCCTCCTGAATTGCTAAGATTACAGGCGTGAGCCACCGGCACCCAGTTATATACATATTTTATATACATTATATCTAATGGAATTTTATTCAGCTATTAGGAACAATAAAATCTTTTCATTTGCCAGGATATAGATCTGAAAAATACCATACTGTGTGAAGTACATTAGGCTTACACAGACAAATGGTGCATGTTTTTCCTCAAATATGGACCACAGATACAAAACACAACCTCCAGGTAAATATGCACAGGGGCATATGCATATATATATGTACCAAGCAGACTGAAGCACAGTGTGTGGTGTAAACCCTTTGAGCAATTTTCACACAGTTATTATCATGAGTATCAGGAAGGTAAAACATTTTGAATGGAGTAATGAGAGCGAGTGGCTGCATGGAAAATGGAATGGTGGATTAATTCATCATACTCATGTGCATACTTGATAAAGGAAGTGAGACGGAAACTGCGCCTGCTGGGGAGGAGGTAGAAGGGAGAGAGAATGGTGGGAGAGGTGACTCTGATCAAGATGCACTGTATACATAAACGAACACCTTAAATTGTAATCCTGTGCACAACCATTTGTAGCCAAAAATAAACTTGAAAGTAGGCATTTCATTAAATAAAGAAAAAACTCATTTCAAATAAGTCATTTGGTAGAAGTTGTTTTTCTCCTGAGTTTTTGTTTTTCTTTTAAACTAGCAAGTGACTCACTGGTGAAATACAGCTCTTTTAGAATACTCAGACAAGGCTGAGCCCCAGTGGCTCATGCCTGTAACTCTAGTTACTCTGAAAGCTGAGAACGGAAGGCTTAGGTTTAAAGCTCAGACTTCACCTCAGCAGAAGCTGGGTGTGGTGGTGTGACAGTCATCCCAGGTACAACACGAAGGCTAAAGTAGGGCTGATTGTAGTCCAGGTGCATGCCTGTCTCAAAAATAATTAAGGGCTAGAAGTATGGCTCAGGTGTAGAGTGTCTGGATACAAGCTTGAAGTTCTGAGTTCAAACCTCCATACAAAACTAAAAGAAGAAAATCTAAACTACAAATGAGGCACTTCTGTAAAGTAATGGAGTTAAGCGTTGGTATTAGTAGAGTTGGCAGCTCAGAGTTTTATCTGAAAGAAATACTTACTTTTTCAATCAAGAGTTAAGAATTGGGCTGGGAAGGTAGCTAAGTGGAAGAATGTTTGCCTTGCATGCATGAGGCCCTGGGTTTGATTCCTCAGCACCACATAAGCAGAAAAAGCCGGAAGTGGCACTGTGGCTCAAGTGGTAGAGTGCTAACCTTGAGCTGAGAGACAGTGCCCAGGCCCAGAGTTCAGACCCCATGATTGACACCCCCCCCAAAAAAAAAAAAAAAAAGTTTTTTATGTGCCTAAGAATGAGATTTCCATACTTTATGCATAGTAATTTATTATTTTTATTCTTTACTTGCCCACCTTTATTTCAAAGTAATATTCAAACTGATAACCAGGATGCTTAACAGATTTGTAATTCTCAATTGCATTATTTTTTTTAAGAGCTTGAAGATGTAATATCTCCTTTAAACATCTTTAAGAAGTATATAAAAATTCTGCAGTGAAAACCATAAGTTATCTTATTTTGGGGGGAAAAAAACGCAAGGCTTTTGCAATAATGTAGAATTAAGCTATCATATGCTGAGTTACTTTACTACATTCTTCAGAATGTGGATATAGTTAATATGTCTTCACTTATATGAATAATTAACACTTAAAATTTCAAGTCACTTGTGAATGGGAAGTCCTTAAATGTGGAAATAAATGCCTAAAAATAAACATATTGAAATAAATGCCTAAATATAAGTATGCTGAAGTCTGAAAGTATAAGTATAGCTCAGTTTTTTGTTATCTCAATAGTACTGTAAACAAAATGACATTACTTCTAGTGTCCATTTAATTTCCTCATAATATGGTTGTCTGGTGTTGCATTAGTAAAGATACTTCCTACAACCTGTGGGTACCCCAGGAATCTATGACAGATCACTTTACAGCAGCCAAGATCATCAACAGAAAATCCCAAATGTCAATGTTCATCTGTTTCAAAGAGTATTGTTTATATATGGTCCAAAAAATGTCAAACCAGATCAGGTCAGTAAAGTCGAAGAGCATAGCACATTTCTTAGTACTGTTAAATGAACTTTTCTAGCAACATTTCTCTTTGAGCTTCTGTCCCTTCACTCCAGTCATATCATTCTTTAGTTTTCTGAGTTATAGTTCGAATCATTAGTTTGCTATTGGCCGCTTTTGGAAATAGTGATTCAGAATCTGAAATTCGTTCATATATTGTGCTATCACAAACTCAGGTCTTGTGGGTAATGGTTCTGCTAGAACATCAGGCAGTTTTATGAAACCTTGTTTTTCTTCTGGATAGCAGTCCCATTGAGGTGACAATCAAAACCTGCTTCCTGGAAGCTGGAATCTTTGATCCCATAGTTTCATCAGGCCATACTGTTCTAGAGCATGTATCTATAGGTGAAGTGGCCACATGAATTCATCAGAGCCTGAAGGTCCTGTTTTCGGAGAGCTGTGGGCCGAAGATAAGCCAATTTAGAGGGGCAGAAACTGGGCGGAAACCATTGGAACCTATCAGGCCTCGGCCTCAGCGGCGGGGCCTATCTGGCCTGGCCCAGCCCAGCCCAGCCCAGCCCAGCCCAGCCCAGCCCAGCCCAGCCGGCAATTCCACTCTTCTGGAAGCACCAGCAAAATGGTTGCACCCCCTATTCTTTTCTTTACCTGATTAGTGTCTGAACACAATTTCTTCAATTTGGAGACAGTTTGTATTTTTATTTTTGCTGTTTCTGGGGCTTAAACTCAGGGCCTGGGTGCTGTCCCTAAGCTTTTGTACTCTACCACTTGAACCCCAGCTCTGCTTCCAGCTTTTTGGTGGTTAACAGGAGATAAGAGTCTTTGCCCAAGCTGGCTTCGAACTGTGTCCCCCCGTCCCGTCCCGTCTTGTCTCCTCCCCCCCCCCCCCCCCAAGATCTCAACCTCCTTTGTATCTAGGATTACAGGTGTGAGCTACCAGTGCCCAGCCAGTATTATGGTTCTGATGAGTCCACTTGCTTATTGTAATACAATAGATAACATAGTTTCTAAACAGTACCTTCATTTTGATTCAGGTTTTGAATTTCACCATGGGCACCCTTGCTGGTGAACAGAATTAGTTAATTTTAGCTAAGCCCAGTAGAAATGTCATAAAAGCCAGAAGTAGAGATGTGGCTCAAAAAGATGTGGTAGAAAAAGTGAGCGGAAACACCATGCAAGAAGGTGAGGCCTTGAGTTCAAGTTATACTAACAGCGTGTGTGTGTGTGTGTGTGTGTGTGTGTGTGTGTGTGTGTGTGTGCGCGTGCGCGCGTGCATGCATGCATACACAGGGTCACAGCTTATTGGGTAGCGGTACAATGAGACTATTTTAGAAGCTTAAAATGTGGTCAGAGAGTGAAATGAGCCAGCTTACTTGACTTAATGTGGTAGTTGTTTGATGAGAATTAGCTATTTCAAAATAGCTATAATTTGAGCAACTTTGTGGAATGCCAGTGTCAGCTTATTAATGAACAAATTGCAGATGTTGAACTTGGCTTTAAGAAAGTTTAAATTAGAGATGTATTTTAGCAGATTTGAGAGGCAGGCTTTGAGTCTTTTTGCGTGTTTTTCTATAGCATTTTCTAATTTAAAATGCATATAGCAAAATTACTGCTTTATTATGTTATTTTTGATTTGCAAATTTGCATGCACACTCTGTCTTCTTGGGGGGGGGGGCGGCGCTGGTCCTGGGGTTTGAACTCCGGGACCTGGCACGTTCCCTGAGCTGCTTTTTTGCTCAAGGCTAGTACTGTACCACATAAGCCACAGCACCACTTTCCCTCTGTCTTCTTTATCACCATCTTCATCAGAGAATTATATGAATTAGACTTCTGCTACAACTAAGTTTCTGTCTGGGTAAACATTCTGTGTCTGTACCTACCCTATTTGGCAAAGAATGGACCTGTATGTAGCTTGTTGCCAAAGAAGGTGAACAGATCATTTAGATTCAAGCAGTATGCTTAACTTTATTTAGGATATTCTGCTGGTCTGTAACAAGTCAAGGTACTGTGTTTTTGTTTTTGTGGTTTTTTTTTTTTTTTTTTTGGTATTGGTATTCATATTTACTGAGATTTTATTTCTCGTCAGTTCTGGGGCTTGTACTCAGACCTGGGAGCTGCCCCTGAGCCTCTTTGTGCTCAAGGCTAGTGCTCTACCACCTTGAGCCACAGTGCCACTTCTGGGACTTTTCTGCGTGAGCTAGCTTCAAAGCATGATCCTCACATCTCAGCCTCTTGAGTAAGCTAGGCTTACAGGCATGAGCCACCAGTACCTGGCTTTGGTGCCACGATTGTAAGCCTAGCTACTCAAGAGGCTGAGATCTGAGGACTGTGGTTTGAAGCCAGCCTGGACAGGAAAGTCCATGATACTAAAATAGCCAGAAGTGGAGCAGTGGCTCAAATGGTAGTGTTAGCCTTGAGCGGGGATGAAATCATACATTAACATCTGTATATACTTGTGTTGAATAACTCTTGTGACTTTAAAAATAGAAAGTAGAACACAGCCAAATGTTTCAAATTAAACAGTGGTTCGGTTGAATTTTGGGTTTTGTGATACAATGACTGGTAGGTTTCCATGCTTCTGGAGTTAGTGATGCAACTTCGTCATGGTATCTTTCCCATCCTTTCAGGTGCCATGCTCACCATTTAAATGGTACAACTGAATTTTGTTCTTTTCTACCACTTTAGGCCTACAAGCCCTCCATATATTTTCTCTCAAATGACCACACTTGTATCTCTGCTCTATCTTTAAAGTCCAACTTCCAGTTTCTTGCTGCACTTATTATCCACCTATCAGTATCTTTACCATTGTGACCCTTTGTCTTTCTCTAGTCCAGTAGTCCTGGAGTCTTTGCTGTCATGGTCTTGTACAGTATTTTCTGTTTTTACAAAGGCAGTTAATAATTACATAGCACAAATCAGTGAATTCATGAATACTTTAAGATTTTGGATCAGAGTAGGACCTGTTGGGTCAGATACAGTCTTTGGACACCCTAAGAGTTTATAAACTTTACCTTTTGTTTGCTGTTTTTAGGCCCCGCTGTGGTCCCTCACCAGTATTATGGCGTCACTCCCTGGGGAGTCTACCCTGCCAGTCTTTTCCAGCAGCAAGCTGCTGCTGCTGCAGCTGCAACCAATTCTGCTAACCAGCAGACCACCCCACAGGCTCAGCAAGGAGGGCAGCAGGTAAAGGGAACAAGTATGACTTTTACTGTTGTCTGTAGCTAATAGGTGATGTGGTGCCTTTTAGGAAACCTCTGGATACATGAGTTTTCCTTGTGTGTGTATCTGTGTTCCGGACCCAGAGTGAATTTTTTGTGCATAACATCTTTAAGCATCAGCCTCTTCTTGGCCAGTATAACTTGACGAGGTGATATTACTTCAATTTGATATGAGAAAGTTGTTTAAAAGTGTTGTTCAGATAAGGTTACATTGGTAGCAAGTAACAACGAGTCTTCAGAGTAGTAGGGATGTTTTTCCAGTTACCATTCTCTAGTTCCCGCTTGAGAATTTTCAGATCACATTGAAGTTTGCTTGATGGGTTGTCAGCCATGTGTGCTGTTTATTTACCATTACTATTGAATTAATCAGAAATCTTAAACATATTATACATATGTTAACTTATAGGAGTTTTCAATTGAGCTTGGAAAAACTGCTAAGCAGTTGATCTATTCTCAAATACAACATTTCCCCCTCCTCCTTATTATTAGATGAATATCTCTTCATTGCTATAAGTTGTAGCAAAGTAGAAAGTTCCCCCCAAAAAAAGAAAGAAAAGAAAGAAATCCCACCCTAAATGCTTACTTAAAAATACCTAACATTAGGCTAGGTGGGGTTGGCTCATAGCTGTAATCCTAGCTACTCAGGAGGACAGCCTTTTGTGCTCAAAGCTGGTGTTCTACCAGTTGAGTCACAGCTGCACTTCCAGCTTTTTTGGTGGTTTGTGTTTTTTTTTTTTGGTGGTTAATTGCAGATAAGAATCTGATGGGGGACCCCCCCCCCCCCCATTCCTTTCCCCAAACCACTGTCCTCAGATCACAGCCTCCTGAGTGGTTAGAATTACAGGCGTGATCTACCAGTGCCTGGCTCACATTTTTTATTTTTAATTAATTAATTTATTTATTTGGTGCTACTACTGGGGCTTGTATTCGGGGCCACTTGCTCTCATTTGGCTTTTCTCCCAGCTTTTTGCTAGTGATTTGGAAATATTGAGTCATAGGCTTTTCTGCCTGGTAGCATGAGTTAAAGCTTTTCTGTGTATATATGCACATGTGTGTTAGTGCTGGGCTTTGAATTTGGGGCCTTGTGCTATTGCTTAGCTTTTTCACTCCTGTCTGGCATACTTGAGTTGTGTGTCTAGTTCCTTGCTTTGTTTTTTGTTTTCCGTTCTTTTAATGTTTGGGTCATACTGTGCAGCCCAGGCTTGCCTCAAACTGTTGGTTTTCCTGTGTTAACCTGGTGAATACTGGGATTATAGACATAATCCACTGTGCCTAGCCACTATTTGGAATTTGATTAAAGAGGAACAGTGTTGAAGGGTAGAGAAATGTTCTCGTATTTCTCATAAAGAATATAGCTTCACATATGTTTGTTTAAACACAGATATTTTAAAAGTTAATCGTCTTACCAAACGGCTCCCTCCTACTCTGCCCGTTCTTTCTTCTTTCTCGGCTTCTTGTCAGAACACTGATCTGTAATTCTTCAGTGTCATCTGTCCTATTCACTGGAGCAAGTACTCCACAAAGCCAGGGGCTTTGCCTGCCTTGTCCATAGCTCTCCCTCTAGTATCTGCCACATGGTAGGAATCAAATAGCTCTTGTTACATACTTCTCACTGTGTCTAAAGGTGATAACTAAAAATGGTAGAACACAATTTCACCATGCTAGTAGTTGGGTTTTTATCCTTATAGCTGTGCTATATAAAACCAGTATGAGGAAACTTTCAGAACTGTTAATCTTTAAAACTCAACTGGAAGATTGGGTGTCTGTGGCTCATGCCTATAATCCTAGCTACAGAAGGCTGAGATCTGAGGATCTTGGTTCAAAGCTATCTGGGAAGAAAAATATGTAAGACTTCTACCTTTTTTTTTTTTTTTGGTCAGTTGTGGGGCTTGAACTCTGTCCCTGCACTCTTCAGCTCAAGGCGAGTGCTCTACCACTTAAACCACAGTGCCACTTCCAGTTTTATGAGTGGTTTATTGGAGATAAGAATTTCACAGACTCTTCTGCCCAGGCTGACTTTGAACTGTGATCCTCAGATCTCAATCTCCTGAGTAGCTAGGATTACAGGTGTGAGCCACCTCACCTGGCTTGACTTCTGCCTTTTTGCTGGTTGATTGGAGATTATTGTAGTGGAGCTATGGCTCAAGTGGTGGAATGTTAATATTAAGCTTAGGGACAGTGCCTAGGCCCTGAGTTTGAGCCCCAAGACTGATTCTTCTCCTTCTGTGTGCACCTCCCCCCTCCCCAAGTCAACGGGCGTGTATGATAAATTTTAAGTACTTAGCCTGAGAAGAAAGTCATTAACTTATTTCTGTCTCCCATTCCTAGGTTCTCCGTGGAGGAGCAAGCCAGCGTCCTTTGACCCCAAATCAGAATCAGCAGGGACAGCAAACAGATCCACTAGTGGCAGCTGCAGCTGTGAACTCTGCACTTGCATTTGGACAGGGTCTGGCTGCAGGCATGCCAGGTAAAGCTGTATGGTAGTTTTTAATTCTGGGAGGGGTAAGAGAGGATGCCTACTTCTTTGGGATGAATGCAGGAGAGTAGGCACTATTTTCAGTTTGCCCAGACTTCTTGTGTTTTGGAAACTGGCAAGGATGATAGACACTTGCCCTCACTTAGACGATAGTTCATTGATGAGAGCATTGTTCTGAGCCAGTTGACAGTCTTACTTACTGGAGGTCATGTGAATGTCCATTCAGTTTTTGCCCTGAGGAGTAAGGATAGGTAGCATCATTGTTAGCATAGCTTAGCATTACTCCATTAGTCTTTATGCTTATGTATTTGAATAGTATAATTAGGAGAAAATTACTTGTATCCTTTGTAAAGATTATTCTCTGCATTTCTAGGATTTATCCCCCCCAAATACTAGGGGTGTTATTTTGCTGTTTACTCTGTGCATGTATCATGAGTATGTGTTCTTGGCTCACTGTCCTGTGCTTTGTATGAGGCTGGACATTGCAACAAGTTCTTGTTAGATCTCAGTTTAATTTTGTCAGTTTATTGACTGAAGCACAGCTACCTTCCGGATTCAGTTATGAATAACCCTACATAGCTTCATTTGTTTTGTTAGCTACTAACATTTATGGGTTTCTTTGCTTGCTTGTTTTGGAAATCGCCTGTAGTTACTCGTGTATCTTTAAAATTTGTTTTATCTTCTGTTGCAATGATAGACCTTGTTAACTGAACAATGTCTAGCCTTTTCCTGTGGATTTACAGGATATTGGGCTTAAATTACTATTTGGTATGCAAATACTGTAATTGTGGTCATAGTAGCTTCTGTTATTTCTTTTTTGTTTTTTGTTTTTGTCGGTCACGGAGCCTGAACTCTGGGCCTGGGCACCGTCCCTCAGCTCTTCAAGCTCAAGGAGAGCACTCTACCACTTGAGCCACAGCCCCACTTCTTTTTTTTTTTTTTTTTTGGGTCGGTTCATAGAGCCTGGACTCTGGGCCTGGGTGCTGTCCCTCAGCTCTTCAGCTCAAGGCTAGCACTCTACCACTTGAGCCACAGCGCCACTTCTGGCTTTTTTCTTTTTTGCTTATGTGGTGCTGAGGAATCGAACCCAGGGCCTCATGCATGCAAGGCAAGCGCTCTACCACTGAGCTACCTTTCTAGCCCCTTCCCCTGTTGTTTCTGTAGAAAAGAAAACAGAAAATTGTAGTGCATGCTTTCTGGTGGCAAGCACAGGTAAATACTTTTTTCACAAGCAGCAGTGGATAGCACTATCCCTTCTTATGTACTCCTGTGTGCCAGGCCTCAGACCCTTCAAACTCAACTGCAGCTTCCTGAGTTCTTTGCGAAGGAGATGTTACTGTTATCATCATTCTTTTACAGATCAGGAAATGATGTCAAGAGATTCAGGGCCTTGTAGCTATTTAAGCAGTAGAGCCAGGATATAAACCTAGGGCTGACTTCAATGCTGAGATTGTGACTATTTGCAATACACTGGTACCCAGGAAGCACTTTTTTTCCCCCTAAGTACGTAAGTGCTTCCTTAACCTTGTAGCCTCTAAGCTTGTAGAAATGCCTGAAAGTGATTACTCCTGACCTCTTACCACTATTTTTCTCCAAATACATACACACACACACACACACACACACACACACACACAACTTTAGTAACCATAGTTATTGTAGAGTTTTGAGCATGCAATTTTTATTCTTTTTTTATTAAGTCAAGAATTTTTATTTTTTGTGGTGGCTTCTGGCATTTATGAATTGCCAGATTGCTATTATTTCCTTGTGCTTTGGAACCATTATCAAAAACAGTAAGCGTTTCTTGAATAGTAGTAGTCAAATTGATGTGTTAACAGATGTGGTTATTGAGAAGGCTCCTAAGGACTGACAGGAGGGAAGTATTCACAGCCCTGATGTACTGGACAGAGGGATTACTTACAGCCCTGGCAAGTGCAACAGAGTGCTGTGAGATTTCACCGTACTTCCCAGAAGAGCATGCAATTGAAAACTTAGAAATTGAAAACTTAGAAATCATTTGTGTAATACTTTTACGTGGTAGTCTATTGTGGGTAAGTAAAATGGTGGACAAAATGGAGACTGCAGTTTATATCTTTGTGTTTGCCTTGTTATTCCTAGGCTATCCAGTTTTGGCTCCTGCTGCTTACTATGACCAAACTGGTGCTCTTGTGGTGAATGCAGGAGCAAGAAATGGCCTTGGAGCTCCTGTTCGGCTTGTAGCTCCTGCTCCAGTCATCATTAGTTCCTCAGCAGCACAAGCAGGTGAGCTTCCTTTGAGGGATCCTGTGATGGGTCTGAAAGGTAGGGGGAGATGGTGAAGGTATTCTTAAAATAGGATGAAATGTACTTTATTTAATAATTCTTGGCATTATCTAACCCTGTAATATCTCAAAGAAAGAATCAGAAGCAGCAAATGACCTTGGTGGATTCTGATTCTGCTGATTGGCATGTACCACCTGGTTAGAAGCAAGGAGCGGCTCCATTGACATCGTAGGAAGTTGGATTACTCACGTAACATGGCACTCTTGGCAGAGTTTCAAGGCTAATCTCACAGAAACCCATTTGATTGGTTTTTCAGATAAAGTGTGTGTGTGTGTGTGTGTGTGTGTGTGTGTGTGTGTGTGTGTGTGTGTGTGTGTGTACTATTTGATTTAGTGGTAGTGGTAGAGGAAGTTATTATAAGAACTAGCAGGACAATATATCTTTACCTTAAGTTGTTCTCCAATCCCATTCATACTAGTGTGTGCTTTTGAGGCCTCCTATTTGCTAGGCAAGCACTCATAATACTTGGGCCACATTTCGAGGCTTTTTGTTTGTGTTTTAATTTTGAGATAGGGTCTCCCTAACTTTACCTGCGCTGGCCTCAACTCACCATCCTCCTGCCTCCTGAGTACTGGGATTACAGGTATGCCCCACCATGCCTGGCTAATGTAATGTATATTAAGCTCTATACGCACTCTTAAAAAATTAGCAACCCTAGAGGGAATAGCTGGCAAAAAACAGTGTGCTAAAATAAGAATTTGAAGGACATAATTTTTGGAGAAAAATATCACCATGGGTATGTGTAGAATTTTGAGATTTAGGAAGCGGCTGTATCTAATAGGTACATTTGATGTTTGACTCCTCTTTAAAGTACAGACACTTTCAATGAGCTGCCAACACAGTATGCTTGCACCCATGGAATTTTGACTTCAAATCAGAAGTAGAAATGAAAAGTAGAACCTTCAGGTGAAGGTTCAGAGACAGATTCAATTCTTTTACAGGTTTGTGTCTGCATTGAAAAGATAGGCAGCATTAAAAGTGTTTAAAGAAATGGATAAAATGTGGTGTGGAAACGTGGCCAGTCTCTTTTATAGCCAAATGGTTTGCTTTCTTCCTCATAGCTGTTGCAGCGGCCGCAGCTTCAGCAAATGGAGCCGCTGGTGGTCTTGCTGGAACAACAAATGGACCATTTCGTCCTTTAGGAACCCAGCAGCCTCAACCCCAGCCCCAGCAGCAGCCTGGTAACAACTTGGCATCCAGCTCTTTCTATGGCAACAACTCCCTGAGCAGCAACTCCCAGAGCAGCTCCCTCTTCTCCCAGGGCTCTGCCCAGCCTGCCAATACGTCTTTGGGATTTGGAAGCAGCAGTTCACTTGGCGCGACCCTGGGATCAGCCCTCGGAGGGTTTGGAACCGCAGGTAGAAATTAGACCGATGACACTGTTGTGAAAACTGATTTTTCATGAGTTTTACTATCTTTCTGGAATCCTGACAATGTATGAACCACAGGCTGATCTGGACTGAGGCCCCGGGAATCCAGCCAGCAGCCCACATAATCTTTGAGATGATACACTTTGAAAATCAAGTCCTGCAGTTGGGTCCTATTTCAGGCCCACACTCATGTTGCTCTTATTTATATTCACATAATCAGTTTGTTTCAGGGACTTGAGAACCAGACATTTTTGCAGGCATTGGGGAAGCATGTGGAGGGAACTATAGAAATGTGGGTGTTAAACTGAGGGAGGAGGCCTTTAGCACAGTTTCCAGGGCTACGTACTCCACATTTGAGATTGTGCCCAGTGCTTGATTTGCAGACCTTAAGGAGTTGGGTGTTTTCTCCAGTCTTTCAAATAACACTAAGGTAGACATTGTAGAACACTGGGAGGAAGGATGTTAGACTAAGATTCTGTCAATGTTTTGATGGGAGAAAAAAGCAGGAAAGCAGTCAGTGAACAGTTTGATAATTGCAGTGGTTATAAAACAATATGTTCTCTAAATAGAAGAGCAATAGCCAAATTGGAATTGGAGGCAAATAGATATTTTTGATTGAGCCCACTGAGACAACTGGCTTTCATCTGCAAGTCTTGTAGAGTGGAGCAGTACCCCATGTATGGATCTTTTTCTGTACTCCATTTTTCTATTAGAACCTTTTGGCTAATGAAAGGCATTCTTTCTAGTCCATTTCCTTTCACCTTTTTCCATAGTTTATGTGGCCGTCCAGAGTTTTAAAAACTTCCCCTCCACCCCATCCCTGGCCCAGAATATATGACACTAAAGGAAGGTAAATTTGGCATATACATGTGATGGTTTGAGCATAAGGTTCATGTTAACCTGAGCCATGTCCTCTTTAATATTTTATCGGCCCCCAGAACTGCTACATTAACAGTAGGCTGTCTCTGCTGACAAATCTGCGGTGGTAAGGAGTCTGGATCAGGGTGCTAGGGGCAAGTCACTGAGCTTGTTCTTCAAAGAACAGGCCTTTTCTTATCTGCATTGTTTTAATTCCATTTTAGTTGCAAACTCCAACACTGGCAGTGGCTCCCGCCGTGACTCCCTGACTGGCAGCAGTGACCTTTATAAGAGGACATCGAGCAGCTTGACCCCCATTGGACACAGTTTTTATAACGGCCTTAGCTTTTCCTCCTCTCCTGGACCCGTGGGCATGCCTCTCCCTAGTCAGGGACCAGGACATTCACAGACACCACCTCCTTCCCTCTCTTCACATGGATCCTCTTCAAGCTTAAACCTGGGTAAGAACCATTACTCTAACACCACCTTGCAAGTACTTTGCATAAGCAAAGGACAACAATCCCTTTATTCTTAGAGGTGTCCAGGGTGTTCTGTGCCTTCTGTCAATACCTCATGTTTTTCAGGCTGTACCTGTAGCTAGTGTAGTAGTTTGGAACTGCTTAGCACTTGGGTACACTTCCCATTTGTTCACCTGACGCTTTCGTATGAGCGTTCTGTGCTTGACTGCTTATGGAGTCTTTCACTGTAAGTGCAGTGCAGGTTCATTGCAGTGAGGCTGGAGGGCCCAAATGCAGAATGAATTTATCCCCCACTGTCAACCCTGTAGTGCCTCCCCAGTTAGTATTTTACTTTACTTTTACATTTTTTGTCTCACATATGCTGTTAATATCTTGCTTTTTTACATACAGCATTGTATTAATTTTTTTCTTACTGAATGCTTTAAATATTTGTAAGTACATTTTTAAACTACACAATACGCTAGTGAGTAGATTTTTCTCCATCATATATTTATATTGTTTTATGTACAGGATTTTCAACATGTTATTCTCTAGGTCCTAGGAAAATGAATGGGTGAATGGGATTCTAAGCATCAGCTTGCAAGAGTAGAAGAAAGTTAGGTTAGAATTTTAGGGAGCGGATCTCTAAATTTTGTGAGATGTGGGCAATGACCATGGTTCTCACTTCCTTCCCCTACATGTTTATCAGCTTTGGATACCAGATTTGTTTTCTAGACAGGGAAAGCTGAATCTTAGAAATGCAGTAGATGGGATTGGAGGTGTGGCTCAGGTGGTAGAGGATCAGCCAGTGAGCAAAAGCATCAGATACCAAGTTCAGGTCCCAGACTGGGGGCAGGAAAGGGAGATGAAATGTAGGCTGTGGACATATTTGATGAGCTAGTTGGGGTATTATGAATTACTGTGTGATGATAGGCCTAAATCAGGACTTGTCCTGAGCAAGTCAGCATGAGTAGCTAATTTACTTAGAAGATTTGCCTTTATATCTTTGTTTAAAGTGAGGTTAGATAGGGCTTTATGAACTCAGAAATGGGGCTAAATAAAAGTGAGTAGGATGTTTTCATTTAGAAAAACAGAATGTAAACACTTCATAAAAATCAAGTAAAATCTAGAATGTATATATAATAGAGTGTTTTGGGGACCTTTTGAGTTTGAAAGCAGTGATTTTGAAGGCCAAAGTATGTTTAAATGCACTAGCATTTATGTTTAAGTTCGAGTGTATTCTAAAGTATAGGAAAGTTTTAGGGACATTCTTCAGTTAGTCGTCCACAGTGGGCAAGAGGAGGATGGGCGTATTACACTGCAGAGCAGTGTCTTAATGCTAAATCAGGAGGGCACAGGTGAAAGTGTTAGGCTGATGGATGGATAGAAGGGAGGAATGAACATTCATGGACCTAATTTTAACCTGTTAGCAATAGTGTTATCCTTACAGTGCAGATGGAAAGAATCTGAGTCCAGAATTTAAATATCTGTCCTAGGTTGTCTCATAGTTGTAACAGTTTTTACTCCAAAGTCTGAATTTCAGTGTATTACCCTCCTCACCCTATGTGCTCAGAATATCTCTTGAAACAGTATATTATCACAGCGAGAAATACTGCCTTTTATTTTGTTTATTTAAACATTTGAGTTATGTCATTCAGTCATGCTAAGTACTAATTGAACTGAATCTTTAAAGTTAGTTAGCTAGTTTATTACTCAAGAGCCATTTTTTAGGTTTTGTGGGCCATATAGTTTGTCTAATGGAATTTCAACTGTAAATGGACTTGTGCATAGTTTCCTTTATTAAAACTTTGTTTATAAAAGTAAGTGGCAGACTGGATTTATCCTGTGGGCTATAGTTTCTTAAGTCTTCAACTAAATGCTGTGGCTCTTGGCATGTGACAATGGCACTAGAAATATTACTTGTATGCATGATGCCCTACCCCTTCCCAGTGCTTCAGTTATTAAATTATGTATTTCTTTCTGCTTCAAGTTTCCCTTGTTAAGTAGGGAACAATTATTGTGTGCTATTTCTTGTTTTAGTGATTTACTGCCTATGCAGATTTGTGGCTAACCTTTTTCCTTTAACAAATTAACCCTGTTTTAAAGCAATGTGTTTCTGTGCATTTGCATTAGGCTTGCACTGTTGCAGGTATATGTAGCACACGTGCTAGTCCGCAAGAGCTTTGCTTCAGCTCCAACTGCTTCCTTGAGAAAAGTCTTCTTGTGTGATTTAGCTTTTCTCAGACAAAAGGCTGCAGTCCATACAAAGGTCTAAGGACACTTTGGTACAAAAAATTGATAGAGAGAGAATATAAACAAACACCTGCACCTACGTAAGCTTCTGTTGTTAATACGACTTTACTGCTGAGAGTTACTGGAATTTGATAACTGTGTTCTGTGTGTTGAAGATTCAGAATAACTCCACATGAAACTTAAGCTCAATTTGGCTTAATGAGTGAGTTCTCTACATAGTTCTTAAGAGTCTGACAACACAAACCAGCCTACCTGTCGTACTGGGGTGGGTCTTTTTCTACCATGTCATGATCCCATTCCTCCAGTGGGCAGACCTGTTAAAATACAGGCTTATGATTCAGTGAGCTGCTTAGCAAATTTCCATCCCTTACCCATCTGTCCCCTGTTGTTTACTTGGATGGCTCATGCTTGTAATCCTAGGCTGAGATTTGAGGATCACAGTTTGAAGCCAACCCCAGGCAGGAAAATCTGTAAGACTCTTATCTCTAATTAACCACCAGAAAACCAGAAGTGGCACTGTGCTTCAAAGTGGTAGAGCACTAGCCTTGAGCAAAATAAGCTGAGAGACAATGGCCAGGCCCTGAGTTCAAGCCCCGCGACCAACTACCCCACCCCCCAAAAAAGAAAGAAAAAGAAAAAAATCAGTGGACTGGGTGTGTGGCCCACATGGTAGACCACTTGCCTAGCAAACACAGTCCTAGGTCCTGTGGTAACTGAACAGGCCCACTTCAGTGGGTGAAAAACTGCTGATTATTTAGAGTCCAGAAGGGGAGGAGAGAGGGCTACTGAGTCACATTTGAAACACAACCGACCCACTTAAAAATGCTGTTCCAGGCATTTTAGTAACTATATGTTACAACAACTGTCATAAAACCTCTACATTAGAACATTTCCAGGAAGTGGAGGTATCACTCATGAGGTAGAGTACCAGCTTTAAGCAAATGCCAATGCCTGAGTTCAAGCCCTGGTGCCAGCACCAGAACAAAACAAAACTTTTCATCCTTTGAGTAAGATCCCTTATGCCCATTTAGTTAATCCCATCCCCAGCCCCAGTCAACACCATCCGCTTACTGTCCCTGAATATGAATTTTCGAGACGTTTTATATAAATGGAGTCACGTTTCTCTTATATTCTCTTATGTCTGTCCTTTTGCCCGGTGCATGTTCTTTTTCCCTCAAGATCTCCTGCTTGCTGGGCAGGTCTTCTGTCATTGGAGCCTTGCTTCTATCCATTTTTTGCCTTGGCTTTTTCTTTCCTTTATTTTTCTCTTTATTGTTCGTTTTGTAGAGGTTTTTTTTTTTTTTTTTTTCCTCAAATTCTTTATTGTGATTAAGTGGTTACATAATTTTCCAAATTTCACAGTATTGTGGGATAGTGATGCTTAGTTAAAGTTACAAACACATTCTAACCTCCATGGGGCAAATTATCTATCATGGTCTATAACATTTATGAGTTCTGTGAGCTTTGCAATACAGTTATTTCTTCCACACTGGGTGGTGTGTACATTTCTTTTGTTTTGCATAGCATCAACTGTTCACTCTTTCCCACTCGCTCCCTCCCTCCCATCGCTGCCATTGAGTTGCTTAGTTCATTTTGACCAATGTCCAGTGCAGCTGATGGGTCCCACTGTTGTATGTTTTTCCCTGATTCCCTCTAGTTCTGTGTCGTCCTCCTGATTTCCCACTGGTGAGCACATATATACCATATATGTGATCAGCAGCATGGGGTTATTTAGTAGTGATTCGACCAGATGAGTGGAAGACCTTTGTTTCTTAAGTCTTGTTAATTTTGTCGTATCACCTTACATTTTGGAGTTAACATCCACTTATCAGGGAGACCAGGTACCGTTTGTCTCTTTGTTCTTGTCTTACCTTGCTCAACATGATTTCTTCTAGCTCCATCCATTTCCCTGCAAATGCCATTTTTTTGTCCTTTCTAATGGCTGCATAATATTCCATTCTGCATAGATGCCACAATTTTTGGATCCATTCATCTGTGGTGGGGCATCTGGGTTGTTTCCATATCCTGGCTATTGTGAACTGTGCTGCAATAAACATGGAGGTGCAAGTGTCCTTGTATACTGGTGCCTGTTGTTCAGGATAGATGCCTAGAAGTGGTATGACTGGGTAAGGAAGGTCAATATTTAGCTTTCTGAGGACCCTCCAGACTGCGTTCGAAAGTGGTTGTACAGGTGTACATTCCCACCAGCAGTGTAATATAGGGTTCCTCTTTCTCCACATCCCCTCCAGCATTTGTCGTTGGCTGAATTTAGGATGTGGGCCATTCTGACTGGGGTAAGGTGGTATGCCTTGGCTTTTGAAGTAGGGTTTTGCTTTGTGCCTGGCCAGGCTGGACTGTTACCTTCCTGCTTGTGCTTCTCCATTTCATTCAGAGATGACGGGCACTTGCTTTCCTAGTCCTAGTCACTGGGCTTCTGTTGTAGCTGGGATGGCAGGCTCTCTTAGTTGAGATGGAGTCTCTTAAACTTTTTTTTTTTTTTTTGGTCGGTTGTGGGGCTTGAACTCTGGGCCTGGGCGCTGTCCCTGCACTCTTCAGCTCAAGGCGAGCGCTCTACCGCTTGTGCCACAGCGCCACTTCCGGTTTTCTGGTGGTTTATTGGAGATAAGCATGTCATAGACTTTCCTGCCCAGGCTGGCTTTAAACCATGATCCTCAGATCCCAGCCTCCTGAGTAGCTAGGATTACAGGTGCCCAGCTCTTATGCTCAGACTAGCTTCCAGTCATGTCTCCACTTCCTGATACCTAGAATAACAGGCTTGATCTTTTGTGCCCAGCTCCCTTTTCCTATACTTGGAGATTCATACATCATATATCATATGTCAATAAATTGTTCCTTTTCCTAGTTGAATTGTATTCTACTTTATAGAAAAATCATTTTGCCTTTCTACTTAACAGCCAATAAGACATTTTGGGGCCATTACAAATAATGCTGTTGTGAACGTTTGCATGTAAGTTTTTTTGTGGCTATCTCTCTCTGTGTAGAGAGTGGAATTGCTTGAATGTAAATTTGGTTTATGTTACACATTTTTGTGTTGTTCCTGGGGCTTGACCTCAGGGCCTGGGCACTGTCCCTGCACGTTTTTGCTCAAGGCTAGTGACACTCAACTACTTGAGCCACACTTCTACTTCTGGCTTTTTGGTGTTTAATTGGAGCGTCTCACAGGCCTTCCTGCCTAGGCTGCCCTCACATCTCAGCCTTCTGGGAGGTTAGGGTTACAGGTGTGAGCTGTGACTGGCTTGTGTTAAACTTACCACTTGGGCCATATAGTCAGCCCTTTGCTGCTCTGGTGGTTTAGTTTTGAGATAAGATCTTGTTTTTTGGTTTTGTCCCAGCTAGCCTGGATGTTGTTCCTCCCATGTACGCTTCTTGTCATAGCTGAGATGACAAATGCATACTACCAAGTTCAGCATATTGGTTGCCATAGGGTCCGATGGTACATCTCCCCTACCCCCTCCTACCCCCACTTGCCTCAGATCAAGATTGCATGAATCACTTCCTCCCAAGTGGTCACTGAGCTTGGTGGTTCATTGGAGGTAGGAGACTCACAGACTTCCTGCCTGGACTAGATTCAAAATCTCAGCCTCCTGAGCAGCTAGGATTATAGTGTGAGCCACCAACTCCTAGTGAAAGTCCTGTCTGCTTTTGGCTGCCTCCTATTTAAGTTGAGTCTCTGAATGTAACTTAACTTGAAAATCACATGAAAATTAGTATTTTTTGGCTACATTACTATCATGCACTAGAGATAGTTTGTTTTAATTTAGGACTACCTTGATGTGATGTTAATGATTTGAGGAGAGTTTAATTTTATTTTGATGGATGCTCTTTTCATTTTTCTGGTACACAAGGGGTTTGAACTCAAGGCCTCATGCGTACTTGCTGGTACTTCACCCCTTGAGCCATGCCTCTAGACCTGCTGTTTTGATGGTTAATTTGGAGATGGAGCTCATGGACTTTTCTACAGTTTTGCTTCTATAAATCTCAGCCTCCTTAGTAACTAGAGTTGTAGGAAGAGAGCCACTGGTGTCCACCTTATGAATTTTTCTAAGGTGGTAAGATTGATTAGTAATCAAGAACATTGAACAAGGCAAGTATATCAAAGACTAGATTCCCACTGCCAGAAAATCCTTGTTGGAGATGTAACCCATTGGTGGAGTACTTCCCTAGTGTGTACAAGGCCCTGGAAAATAACCTAAGACAAACAAATGAGAAAAACAACTCTTTTGTTGAATTATGTAAACTGGAGCACATTAATTTAAATAACTCACTTAAATCCTTAAATTTCCTTGGGAAGCTGCTACAAGACACAGCTTTATGTAGAAAATGGAAAAACAAGAGGCAGCTTTTAAGACCTTATGAAAAGGCTTCCTTTTAAAGCACATTGTAAATCCAACTTACACTTTCAGAACTATAGTAATTAATATAGCTGAATACAAGAACTAGAAAGTTTTTGTCACATTGCTAATCTAACATTCAGTTTCCAAGTACTTACTGAGAGGCTAATATTTGCCAGGCATTTTTTCAGAAAACAGCCAGAGAGTTTTAATTTTAAGGTATAATTTAGGCATTAATTTAATGTTCAAAGAAATACTAGTTGGTATACACAAACTATGTCTGAATCAGCCAAGTTAATTTAGTACCTTGGAAATTTTCTCTTTTTTTCCCCCTTTTTTTATTATTATGAAAATACCGTACAGAGGAGTTACAATTACATGGGCAAGATAATGAGTACATTTCTGGAAATTTCCTTTCTTTGTTTAGAGATTTATGTATTTCTTTTCTCAGTAATAAAAGCAGTGTATCTGTTAGGCCTGTGTATATGGCTCACATCTGGAACAATCCCAGGACTTGGAAGGCAGAGATCAGGAGGATGAAGTTTGAGACCAACCTGGGCATAAATGTGAGCCCTCCATCTGGATGTAGAAGCATGCTCATGTCTTATGTGGGAAGTGTAGGTAGGCGAATTGTTGCTGATAGTGACCCAGGCATACACACAAGACCTTCAAGAAATAGCAAAGGCAAAAAAGGCTAGTGGTGTGTGTTTGTCAAGTAGCAGAGTACCTAGCTAGCAAGTATAAGCCCCTCAAAAATACCCAGAAAGGCAGAAAACTGTGACTGCTGTCCGTGGAAAACAGAGCCAAAATTCAAAACTTTGGGGCAATTGTATAAACTTGTATTGTAGATGCATTACAGGCTCTTTCCCCTTTGGCCTTTTGTAATTCAGATTAGTATTACTTGGCCACAATGACCCAGCTACTGGTAGCTTAAGTAGTGTCATCATCTTTTCATATAGCTGGAGGTGCAATTTTGTTCAGAATTGGTGTGTCCCATCAGTCAGCAGAGTCAACCATGACCCGGCTGCCTTCCAGTATATTTCCTTCCAGTATATATTTACTTGAAATTGCTTTCAGAGCTGTTTTGTGCCGTTCCTTCTTTGGCATACTGTGTTCTCCTCTCACTCAGCACCTGCTGCCCCTGCCTTACTGTACCTCTCCACATTTGTCCTAAGAGTGGTGGTTTGTGAAATGAAGTGAAGGACAGACATGGTTGCTGTTTTCTTTCCAAATAAGTCTTTTTAGATAGAGGTATTATGTAATTTTAATTGGGCACCTATGACTCACTTCTGTAATTCTAGCTATTCTGGAGATTGAGAGCTAAAGGATGAAGTTCAGAGCCAGTCTAGGCGAAAGTCCACTAAATCCCATTTCCAATTAGCCAGCAGAAATCAGGAATGGTGTAGAGCACAAGTGGTAGAGCACAAACTGAGCAAGAGCAAGACCCTGAGTTCCACCTGTTATCAGCAGAAACACATACACACGCGCGTGCGTGCACGCGGAATTTGACAAGCCTAGCAGTGTTGTGGAGAACAAGAAAATCTGAAATATCTATGCCTGAAAATGAAAGTAACTGCAGGGGCTCTGGCACTAAGGTCAAGGGCCTAATTCTCAACTGGCCATGAGAATTATGGGTATTTCATCTTTACATGAATACTTTGTCTCTGAACTTATTAAACTTCCAACTATATAAGTGGGAATTTAAAATTCCCTTTTCAAAGTTCCATTGGGAACCAGGTGCTGGTGGCTCACACCTGCAATCCTAGCTACTCAAGAGTCTAAGATCTGAGGATCACAGTTCAAAGCCAGTCTTGGCAAAAGGCTATGAGACTCTTACCTTCCATTAACCATTGGAAAACCAGAAGTGGAGCTGTGGCTCAAAGTGCTAACGCTGAGTAAAGGAGCCCAGGGGCAGTGTGCCAAGGCCCTGAGTTCAAGCTCTGTGATGAACCCCCCCCCCCCCGCCCCCCCAAAAAAAAATCAATAAAAATGCCATCTGTGCTGGATGCTGGTGAGATTGGAACTCAGGGCCTCTAGCAGACACCACTGAGCTCACCCCAGCCCTGCTGGACTTGCTGAGAAGCTTTTGGTCATAGCTCTAGAATAGCCATATTTGTGGTGGAAACGTGTTGTTGCTACTGCAATTAAGAGCTACCCATTTGTGATGAAGAATTTAATAACCAATGTTTTCACAGTGTACCTCCTTTTATAGGAGCTTGCTGTTGGCCTTTGGGTGTCTTTGTGATATTTATACAGTTACATGCTGTACTGGGGCTTGAACTCAGGCCCTGGTTTTCTCAGCCTTTTCTACTTGAGGCTAATACTCTATCACTTGAACCACAGCTCCACTTCTAGATTTTTGCTGGTTAGTTGGAGTTTCGTCAACTTTCCTGATCAGCCTCCTGAATAGCCAGGATTATAGGCGTGTACTAGCACCTGCTTATCCTGTGATTTTTAAACTTCTACTTAGCAGCAAAAGTATTCTTTCAGAAAGCTTTTCCAGAGATCCCTGTATGTAAATACTGGTCTGGATATACTGACTGAATGAACGTTATTTACGAATGTTGGGCATCTCCGCATAGTTGAAAGGCACTGCAGCCTCTCTATGTTTTGTGTTTCTCTGGGGCCTTCATGCTAGTGCTCAGCTGCTGGGTTCACACGGTGGGCATATTTTCCTTACTTTATTTACTAAGAGCTACACTGCTGCTGGCCTATTCTTGCTAGTAGTCTACCATCAGAAGTCAAGGCATTCTTCTTCCTAGATGGGTAAGTTGGCCTGTGGAAATCATAGCAGCAACACAGTAGAATCTTAACACAAAATTGCTGGCTTCTGGTGTGGGGGATTTTCCCTTGAATGATGTTCTTTAAGAATGGTCTTAAGTTCTCTTGTTCTGTAACCAACAGGAGGACTCACAAACGGCAGTGGAAGATACATCTCTGCTGCTCCTGGTGCCGAAGCCAAGTACCGAAGTGCGAGCAGTGCCTCCAGCCTCTTCAGCCCCAGCAGCACCCTTTTCTCTTCCTCTCGCTTGAGATACGGAATGTCTGATGTCATGCCCTCTGGCAGGAGCAGACTGTTGGAAGATTTTCGAAATAACCGGTACCCTAATTTACAACTGCGCGAGATTGCTGGACATATAATGGAATTTTCCCAAGACCAGCATGGTTCCAGGTGAGGACTTGGCTTTGGCACTTTAGATCACTGAAATGAATGCCTTCAGTCCCGTGCTTTAGATAGCTACCATACTAAAACCATACCAAGTGTCCCTTTCATACTGCTCTCAGGTTTTTGTTTTTGTAGTTTTTTAGAGGGCTGTGGGTAAGAAGATCCCAGTTAAACATGTTTGGAAAACCTTTATTGGCCTGGGTCACATGCTTCAAGCAAACCTTTTACCTTTCTGTACTGTGTTTCTGGTTCACAAGAATTTCTAAACACTGCAGTTTACGGAACAGAAACAGCATCAGAAGACATGGACACATTTTTGCAGTGTTTGGAACTGGAGGTGTGGCTCAAATGGTAGAGTACTAGCTGTGAGTAGAAAAGCTGAGTGAGAGGCCCTGAGTTCAAGCCCAGATACTGACTCTTTAAGAACAACCAAACAAAACTCAAAATCGATTTTTTTTTCCCCCTCAGTGAGACATCCACATATAAAAATTGGATCCTAAGTGTTTAGAAGTGAAACAAGTATGTCTTTGTTCCCATGCTGTAGAAATGAGACTAGCTTTCGTAGAAGATGGCTTCCCCCTTCCTGTTTGGCTGCTCTAGGGACTTAGAAGAAGGCGAGCCTAGGCTACAGTGAAGCACAGTTAGGCGACCTCACTCATCCTTTCCTACAGGCTCCCATTTGTCTCTTTCTCTCAGACTTCAGTGAAGTCACTTCTCATAAGTCCTATCAGTTTGCTGCTGCACAAGGATTCTTCATACTGGAATTCTACAGACCAGATTCAGAAATTGCAAAGCTTTCTCAATATAGTCACCTGCACTAAACAAAGCAGTTCTAGCTACAATTTCAGAAGATAATGAATACCACTTTTTAGGGATAGGAGTTAATATAGTAAGGACCATACAGGCAAAAGTCAAGTGTTTGGTTAAGTGCATATGCGCTGTAATGAAATCTACTGAAATGTAAATGTACTTTTTAAAGTTCAGTTTAGTGAGAGGATAAATATGTACATGTGAGTGCATATTTCATTTGTGACTACTGGAGTTTAAACTAAGGTCAAGACCTAAAGCTCGCTAAGCTGGTGTTATACCACTTGAGCCATGCTTTTAGCACAGCTTTTCTCTGGTTACTTTTGAGGTAAGGTCAGGCTTACGGCCACAGCTGGGATCACAGACACATGCCACTACATATCCACTTTCCTTGTGATGAGAAGGGGATCTCATGGATTTGTTGGAACTGCAGGGCTGCCAATCTCAGCCTCCCAGAGTGTGGGATGACAATCACGTGTCACTGCAACAGCTAATAAGAATGCATACTATGAAACAAATGCAGAAGGTGACTTAGCTGCGTTACCCCTTTACTTTGTACTTCAGATTCATTCAGCTGAAGCTAGAGCGTGCCACAGCAGCCGAGCGCCAGCTTGTGTTCAACGAGATCCTCCAGGCTGCTTACCAACTTATGGTGGATGTGTTTGGAAATTATGTCATCCAGAAGTTCTTTGAAGTAAGGCCTTCTTCTCTCTATCCTTTGACTAGAGAATTTCCTCAGCAGGCATTTGTTTTCATAGAATTTTTAAAGATTAGTGATTCCAGTACAGTCTTGAAGAGCCTTTTAGATTTTTTGTTTTTTCTTTTTTTCTCCAATTCATTAGCAGTAATCAGTGTATTTGATATGGGATAGATATTCAAGCAGATATTGCCAGGCTATTCTGGAAATGTGATTTGATAATTGTCTTTGTTTAGGACCCAGCACTATTTCCACTTGTCAGAATAACTTCACTAACCATGTCACTTTTGGAGGAAATAATTTTGGGGGGTAGGGTCGGGGGGTCCGGTCATGGGGCCTGAACTCTGGGCCTCAGCTCTTCAGCTCAAGGCTAGTGCTCTACTACTTGACCCACAGCGCCACTTCTGGCTTTTTTCTTTTTTGCTTATGTGGTACTGAGGAATCGAACCCAGGGCCTCAGGCATGCAAGGCAAGCGCTCTACCACTGAGCCACCTTCCCAGCCCATGGAGGAAATAATTCTTATGAGGAAATTAGCACCACAATCGTATTGTGAACATTAAAAAACAAAATCTTAAAACCCTTTATGGAGAATGTAGTTGGTGTCTTTGAACACCAAGTCCAGAACTTCTTTGTTTTTTTTTCAAAGAAAACAACATTTATCAGAAAAAAAAATTTACTCAGCAGTACTGTATAACTCAAATAAAAATTTTCACAACTATAATAATGTACATAAAATAACAAGTTTAGCCAAGATTATAAGGTCACTAAATATAAAAACTAATAGCAAACAAGGCAGGCATGAATGATTTTCTATAGTAGAAATCAGTAGATAACAGTTGAAAGAAAAGTGTCAACTAATAACATGAAAAAAAATCAAGAGATCAGATGAAAAAAACAGCTTAGAAAGGCAGGCAGGCAGGTAGGCAGGAAGGAAGGAAGGGAGAGGGAGGAAGGCACTTCTTTGCTTTTTAAGTAAAAGCTTTAACCCAGACATGTTGTCTGCCAAGTCCAATACTTTTTATCATAAAAGTAGAGTCACAAGGATTGCCAAACACTTGGGAGATCCTTAGTTAATTTGAATAATGTGTGTTCTTACTGTGTTTGGAAAGAATCAATGAGGTTATGCTTTGTGTTTCAAGAAGCAGGGATATTTTGCTTACCATTGTTGGCAACTCTGAGTTATAAATTCACAATGGCCCAGAGTACTGAGATGAAGAATCTGGTGTGGAGAGCAAAGTTGGGGACTCAGAATTAACTGCCAATGAAGAAATCTGAGAACTTTTCACATCATATTTTGTTTCATTTGTATAAAGATGAAAATTGGCTAACAGGCTTTATCTTCTCAACATTTGGGGGGGGGGGGGGTCCAGTCATGGGGCCTGAACTCTGGGCCTGGGCGCTGTCCCTCAGCTCTTCAGCTCAAGGCTAGCACTCTACCACTTGAGCCACAGTGCCATTTCCAGCTTTTTTCTTTTTGCTTATGTGGTGCTGAGGAATCGAACCCAGGGCCGATGCATGCAAGGCAAGCACTCTACCACTGAGCCACCTTCCCAGCCCCTCTTCTCAACATTTTTATGAAAATAAATTCTTCACCCAGAGTCTAAAAATCCAATCTCAAATGTAACCCTTTTAGACTTTAGGACATCTCTGTATTATCATTTTGGCACAGAAATGAAAACAGCTTCTGCTGGAGCAGCTTGGGTTGACAGTGGTATAAAGCTGGGGTTTGGAGCAAACTAGAGAGCAACCCTCCACCTGAGTGCCTTCCCTTAATGGACAAGTTGGGAATGGACAGGCTGATAATTCATAAATTCTTCTCTAATTTCAGAGTAACACTGCCTCCAATGAAAACAAAAAGCCAAGAATGAAAAAGCATTCTCTATAACATTGTATATGCTTTCTCTGATTTTACTAACTTTGCCATCCAAATTCTGTTAAATTCTTAAAAATCATTCTTGGAGAATATAAAGCACTAATTCATAACACAGTGACCATATGTGCTTCCCTTGAACTTGATAACTTTCATCCACAGAAAAGAGTTTGCCAAACTAGGTGCCAATAGTTCACACCTGTAATCCTAGCTACTCAGGAAGCTGAGATCTGAGGATCATAATTCTAAGCCTTCCTGGGCAGGGAACTCCAATTAACCACTAAAAAGCCAGAAGTGGAGCTGTAACTCACCTGATAGAACCTTAAGTATAAAAAACTGAGGGACGGGGTGCTGAGAAGGTGGCTCAGTGGTAGAGCGCTTGCTTTGCATGCATGAGGCCCTGGGTTCGCATTCCTCAGCACCACATAAACAGAAGAAAAAAAAAGTCGGAAGTGGTGCTATGGCTCACGTGGTAGCGCATTAGCCTTGAGCTGAAGAGCTGAGGGACAGTGCCCAGGCCAAGAGTTCAGACCCCACGACCGGACCCCAAAAACAAACAAACAAAAAACAACTGAGGGACAGCACTGAGGTCCCAAGTTCAAATCTCAAACCTGAACCCAAAAGAATAAAAAGGAGCTTTTCAACCCATGGGACTCAGATACTCCAGTGGCTATGAATTTGTTGCAAAATCTGCTTTGTGAGCTCAAAGGGTTTCTCACACATTACTCATTTTAGTTTACATGTATTCTCCTGGTTAATAAGAGTATAGACCCATTATAAACTAGTGGCTTTGTTTAGCAAAATCTGGCAGTGTTGGCTATCTGGGTGGCTGTTTTTGTTTTTTTTTTTTTTTAAGATTGAAAAGGGTTCCTCAGTCAGAGCTGGAAAGTAACAACGGTTCCTTAGTTAATCATAGGTAACAGGGCTAAAAGAGAGTATGCCAACTGTTGATGCAGAATAATGAATACTTTGCTCTCTCTGATTTCTTCCCTTCTACCTAAGTAATGGTGTTCACCCACACATTATATCTAGTTTGGCAGCCATGAACAGAAGCTGGCTTTGGCAGAACGGATTCGAGGCCATGTCCTATCACTGGCACTGCAGATGTATGGCTGCCGAGTTATCCAGAAAGCTCTTGAATTTATCCCCTCAGACCAGCAGGTAATTGTAAGTTTCCCCTTTCACTTTTCTCTTGGTGTTCGATGTCTTTCCGTGGTACGTGCAGTGAAGCCTGTGGACCCGTCAGTCTGTACAGTGTGACGTGTGTGCATGGCAAGCATGATTGCACAATTGGTTTTGTACGTGTTTAGTGGGTCGTGTCTTAGGTTAAAACCAGTCGTTTCCACACTCTTCTCATTGACTAGAGCTTACCTTTTGGTTCTATAAGTGAGTCTTTGTATTTCCTGATAGTCAAAGCAATTAAAATGTTAGCTTGTCATTTTCTTCAACCTATACTGAGAATTTCGGCAAACCAGAAGCTATCTATTCCATTTTTATTTCTGTTATTTTTACCATTTTGTTCCTGCAGTCACTGAACACTCATTCACTGAACAGCATCCACCTCACACACGTCTGCTGTCAAACACCGGAGGCACAGAGACAACACAGCCCCACAGTCTGGAGGGAAAAGCAGTGGAAAGCACTGCTGCTGCACACAGGCCCTGCCCATGTCTCCAAGGGAAGGCTTTGTGGAGCACAAGGCTAAGAGGAGTTCGATGAGGGCGGGCAGGAGTCTGATCAGTTAGTTAGCGGCTGTGAATGGGGAGCTGACAGGAACCACCTAGAGGTTTTGCCTGGAAGGTTCCCCACAGGGCTCTGACCCAGGGCTCCTCATGGGCAAGAATGGCCCACTGCAGCTGTGTGAGGGAGGGCTTCTGACCTGAGTCCCCGGCCTTTGGGCTCCTCGGTGGAGGGTCGCCACTGTCTGGCGGTGATGACTCACTTGCCCTCACTGAGAACAAAGTTGGGTGATGAGAACCTTTGTTATGGACTCGAGTTCTGAGCCAGACAAGACCCTGCTACCTCTGGTGCAGAGCCACCCACCCTGCAGCCAGTGGGCTGGTGATGGCAGTTGCAGGCTGGGGGATCCTGAGCCCCTTGGGTTAGTTCCACAGACAGGCGGTGGAGATGCCCTGGAGGCCGGGGCAGGGTTTAGGGTACAGCAGAATAGGCATTTGTTCATTCATTTCAGGGATTCACTGCTAGAGATATACCTTTGGAAGGAGAGTGCCCTCTGTAAACATAAGCAGCAGATGGTATGTCTCTATGTCTGGTTGATGCCTATGTTTTTGTTTTTAATATATATTTTTTATTGTAAAGATACTGTACAGAGGGGTTACAGTTATATGAGTGAGTAATGAGTACATGTCCTATTGAGCATTGTTACCCCCGCCTATGTTTTTTAAACCTCTGTGAAAGTTTCCAAGGTAGACATCTTTTTTGGGTATTAGTTACTGTGTAGTAAATTTTACTATTTTGTTAACACACGGAAGACCTTCAGCTCTCAGGTGTTTCCCTGCTGTGGTATTGCCACAGATGTGCTTTCGCTTTGATGCTTAGCTAGGAGAGTGTGGGCTATCACAGTGTTTGCTGTCTGTGATTATGGCGGTATTTCCTTTCCTTGTCTCCAATAGAACGAGATGGTTCGGGAACTAGATGGCCATGTCCTCAAGTGTGTGAAAGATCAGAATGGCAACCATGTGGTCCAGAAGTGCATTGAATGTGTGCAGCCCCAGTCCTTGCAGTTTATCATTGATGCATTTAAGGGACAGGTAAGTGACATAGGAACAAAGTAAGGAAAATAGTGGTAGGCATCCCCCCTGGGAGCAGTGCCATATGTGCCACGTGCTTCCCAGGCTCCCAGGTCTTTATGGACAAGTGCCACGGACCTGCTCCGTGCCAGCCTCCGCTCGTGCATTCATCTGCTTGTGTGGGAATCAGGCTCAGATGCAGTCTCATGTGTGAAGCATCATTTTTCCTTGGTTAGTTATTAGTTTTTATTGCTTCTTAAATCAGGTCATTTTCAGTAATTTGCAGATCATGTGTGAAGATATATTTAAAATCACAAGGTAGTCTTTGTGTAAAATTGTTTGGAGAGAATTGATGTACATTGGTTTGAATTGAATTAAGTATGAAACTGCCAGAAATAACTCCTAATTCCTCCTCCTCATTTGTATGTGGAAAGTGTGTTTTTAGCACCACTGTCTGATATTAGGATAGGATCTTCAAAATACACACTAAAAAGTGAAAAACTATACCAGGAAATGGGAGGAGATTGGGTATGTACGAACACACGTACATGCCAGTCCTGGAGCTTGAACTTGGAGCCTGAGCCCTGTCCCTGAGCTTTTGTGCTGAAGGCTAACACTCTACCACGTGAGCCACAATTCTACTTACAGCTTTTTTGGTGGTTAATTGTAGATAAGAGTCTCTTGGGCTTTCATGACTGGGCTGGCTTTGAACCATGACCCTTAGACCTCAGCCTTCTGAGTAGCTAGGATTGTAGACGGGTGTGAGCCACTGGCAGCTGGCAGGTTTTTTGTATTATTGTAAAGGTGACATAAAGAGGGTCCGAAAAGTTGGTTTTTGAAGCAGGGTCTCACTGTGTATCCCAAGGTGGTTGCAAACTGGCAGTTCTCCTACCTGGACCTCCAGAACAGTTGGAGTAAAGAATGTGTCACCACATCCGGCATTGTCATTCTAGATTACAAATTTGAGATTTAATGCCTTCTAGCTATGCAGAACAGAAAAAGTATTTATTCCAGTATTACAGGATTCAAGTAGAGAGAATTAGAAAACTCCCAATAAAGGAAGTGGGAGTTCAACGTACTGTTACTGAGGTTTGAACTCATGGCCTTTCAGCTTGCCAGGCAGGCACTTGAGCTGAGCCATCAGCCCTTAGCTTCCATTATTTTCTGAATGGAGCCTCTTCTGGATAGCTCCTGTGTTGCTGAGATGGCTGGTGCCTCCCACCACACCAGCTCTTGGTTGAGACGGGATCTCAGGACTGTTTGCTCAGGTTGGCCTCACTGCAGTCTTCGGCATCTCCACCTCCCAAGTAGCTAGGATTATAGGCATGAGTCACTCTACCTTGTTCCTTTTTCTGTCTTTAGCCCTATTGATGGGAAGATCCATTGATTGACATTCTCTATCCTTCGCTAAGTATGTTTTTCATGGTGGTCACTAATTATTTGCTACTTCCTGGCTTTTGGAAATTCCTATATATAAATAATGAAGTGGGTCTATTAACACACAGTAGTTACATACCTCTTATTCCAAGAGAACTGAATTCATTTGTGAAGATCAATGGGTTAGTATTTATAAAAGTTATCACAATATTGAAAATAGTGGGTGTCATTTGGGTTTTCTTCTTTGTATTTGTCTCCTGCAGGTATTTGCTTTGTCCACACATCCTTATGGCTGCCGTGTAATTCAGAGAATCCTGGAGCACTGTCTCCCTGACCAGACCCTTCCTATCTTAGAGGAGCTTCACCAGCACACAGAGCAGCTTGTGCAGGTAGTGGAGCTGCCATAGAGGAGCCGCAGCACCGGTGGGCTCCTGTAGGCCCGGCTTGTGTGTTTTGTCAGCATAGGTATCTGCTCTGGAAGATGTTATTGTGTCTTAGATGCCCACTGAATCTTTGGGCATGTTTGCATAGCAGCCTGGTCTGTGTGTCATGAATATTTGCAGTGAATAGGGCCCCAGTCCTGGAGTCAGGAGGCTGGCTTCAGCACCGCCTCCACACACACAGTCACTTGAAAAGCACTGTAATCCCACGTGTGTCCTCATTGTTGAATGAACTATGTGTATTAGTCGATTTCTCCTTTCTGTGCTTGTGCTACTGATCAAATAATTAGATGTGCCTATGTTGTTAAACATAAATCTTCACAGTTTTCCCCAGAGATAGAACTCTCTCCTCCTCCCCTCCAAAATGATTTTTGTTATAGTTATTTACAAAGAACTCATCAAGAACTTGGGGGCATAAATCCATAGAGAGAACTATTCCATTATCTAATAACAGTGTGTTCCTGTTTCATAAAAATAGGGAAAATAGTTATTACCTATTCATTAAACTAAGTCTTGAATGCTCATTGGTATCCAATAAGCTGTCATGGTGCTTCAAGAAATATAGGTGTTAATTAGAAATAAGGACAGGGCTGGAGATGTGTCACAATGGTAGAGAGCTTACCTAGCATGCAGGAAGCCCTGAGTCCGATCCTCAGTACCACATAAACAGTAAAAGTTGGAAGTGACACTGAAGCTCAGGTTGGTAGAGTGCTAGCTCCAAGCAAAAGGTGCTTGGGGACAGTGACCAGAACCTGAGTTCAAGCCCCAGGACTGGCAAAAAAAGAAGGACATAGGTAACACACCTGGTATTTACATACATTTACACCCTGATTTCTGCTCCTCAAACAGGATCAGTATGGAAATTATGTCATCCAACATGTACTGGAGCATGGTCGCCCTGAAGATAAAAGCAAAATTGTAGCAGAGATCCGAGGCAATGTGCTTGTATTGAGTCAGCACAAATTTGCAAGGTATGTGCTTTGAGTTAGGTGGACTGCTTTCCAGGAGAGAGGATGAAGTACTGTTTGGGCTATATAAAGAGGGGATGAATGTTTGTTCTGCTTTCTTCTTAGTTTTTTGTTATTATTTTCATAGTATACATAGCTTTAAAAGTCAAAATAGTTCTACAAAGTATGAGTCCTCAGAAATCCTTCGGTGGATGTCTCATTTCCTTAGAGTTTTGTAGTACGTGTCAGTCCACTGCATGTTGAAATAACTTGATTATTGTTTGGAATTATAAGATATTCATTACTTCATGTAGGCCTAGTGTCTTCCCAGGCTCACCGCTAGTGACTTCCAGCTTGTCACGGGCATGCTAGGTGACTATCCTGTGAGGGCAGAGGCTTTTCCAGGGATACTGGGGTGGCTGTTCTAAGTCCATTGTTTGTCCTGTTGCCCTACAGCAGAGTATTTTCTGGTTTCAGGATATTTTCATTCTTGGTCTTTTGAATAGATTGCAAGGTAGTAGGACTGTATGCATATACACACACACCTTGGGGAGAGCAGTATTGGAGTTTGAACTCAGGGCCTTGAGCCTGCTAAGCAGGTACTTTACCACTTAAATCACATCTCTCTAGCCTCTTCTGCTTTTGTTATTTTTCATATAGGGTCCTGCGTTTTGCCTGGATCTGGACCACAGTCCTCCTATATATTTATGCTCCCTGCATAGCTGGGATGACACTCAGCTTTTTTTATTGGTTGAGATGAGGGCCTTATAAGCTTTTTTGTAAGCTTTTTAGCCTGGGCTTAGCCTCAGACCTCAATCTTCTCCATCTCTGCCTGAGTAGCTAGTATTACAAGCAAGAGGCAGCTAACTTCATGTTCACTTGCTTTCTGAGGGGTGTGGGGGGGATCGTGGGGCCTGAACTCTGGGCCTGGGCGCTGTCCCTCATCTCTTCAGCTCAAGGCTACTGCTCTACCACTTGAGCCACAGCACCACTTCCAACTTTTTCTGCTTATGTGGTGCTGAGGAATTGAACCCACGGCCTCATGAATGCAAGGCTAGCACTCTACCACTGAGCTACCTTCCCAGCCCCTTAATGTTCACTTTTAATTTGTGAACGCTTATCGGATAGCAGCATACAAAATAGAGAAAGTAGAAGCGCCCAGATGTGGTGATGTAGTATATAAGGAGGAATGTGTAACAGAGCCACTCACTGGTACAGTATGTTGCCCTGGAGGGGAGCTGCTTTAGAATAATTAGAAATTTTGAAAACATGGCTGAATAGCTATCTTGCCATCTTGTTTTAGCTAGACATGTACTCTGAAATGCCTTTTTTTTTTTTTTTTTTGCTGGTCCTGGGGCTTGAACTCTGGGCCTGGGCACTGTCCCTCAGCTCTTCAGCTCAAGACTACCACTCTACCACTTGAGCCATAGCGCCATTTCCGGCTTTTTCTGCTTCTGTGGGGCTAAGGAATCGAACCTAAACCCAGGGCCTCATGCATGCTAGGCAAGCACTCTACCACTGAGCCACCTTCCTAGCCCCTGATGCTCCTTTCCTTTTTTTCATTCCTTTCCTTTCCTTTCCTTTCCTTTTTTTTTGTCAGTTATGAGGCTTGAACGCAGGACCTGGGCACTGTCCACTAAGCTCTTTTTGCTCAAGGCTAGTGCTCCACCACTTTGAGCCACAGTGCCACTTCTGGTTTTCTGATGGTTAACTGGAGATAAGAGTCTTGTGGTCTTTTCTGCTCATGCTAGCTGTAAATCTCAATTCTCAGATCTCGGCCTCATGAGTAACTAGGATCATAAGCGTGAGCCACCGACACCTGTCTTAAAGCTCCTTTTCTCCTTGAGGACCCAGAGCCTCTGTGCCTCTCACCCCATCTCTTCCAGGCAGTAGGCTTGCGGCCAACAGCCCATATGCAGAGACTGTGAGGTGTTCCTTGACACAACAAAGCCAAAATGCAAATCAAACAGCAGTGAGTGATCACTCTTAGTAAGTAAGTAGCCATTACTGTGGCTACCTAGAACTTAATCAGCCTCTCGAGTCCTGCATGGATTCTAGTAAAACTGTGATTTCCTTCTGAAGAGGAGATGTTTGTGGAGTGGTTAGCAGTGCTGACAGACATTACGGTCCTTCCTGTGCTTACCCTCTCCAGACGCAGCATGCAGTGGTCTGACAAAACATTCCAGCCTAGGAACTCATGCTCCACATTGGCTCTGCATGGCAGCAGGGAGCCTTGTTCCTGCTTCATGAGCTCACAGGAAGAAAGGCATAGTAATAGCTAACTCGCTGCTGTGGCCAGTCGCCTCCCCAGGGAGCCCTGACCTCTGACTGCAATTACCGGTGGGCACCACCGAAGGCTCAGACCAGGGACGAAGGGGTCCCTCACTGAGTGCTGAGTGCTCCTGAGGGTGGGGCAGGGGCTGAGAGTTGTCCCCACTCTGTGTCATTCCAGCAATGTTGTGGAGAAGTGTGTTACGCACGCGTCACGCACGGAGCGCGCTGTGCTCATCGATGAGGTGTGCACCATGAACGACGGTCCCCACAGTGCCTTATACACCATGATGAAGGACCAGTACGCCAACTATGTGGTCCAGAAGATGATCGATGTGGCAGAGCCTGGTCAGCGGAAGATCGTCATGCATAAGGTAGGCTGGGCTGGGCAGAATTTCAGTCAGAGAAGGTGGGCCAGGCTGGGTTTGCTTCTAGACTACAAAGGATGGTAGACACAGCCCTGCTTTTTGAACAGTAGTCCGGTAGTCACTGGACTACCTCCCATCCTGGGTCCTTTTGGGTCACAAACCTCTCACTTAGGTGTTGCCAACCCCATCAGCAACTCACAGGGTCAGTCTTGGTTTTATGTTTTGTTGCTGTTTTGAGGCAACTGTGTAGCCCAAGCTGGCCTCCCAAGCGCTGGATTACAGGTGTATGCATCAGGGTTATGCTGTCACATTTGCCTATGTGTGTCTTGTGCCCAGAACCCTCCATTCCCCATCCCTCCAGCTGTACTGGGGCTTGAAGTCAGGACTTTGCATTTGTTTGACTTGTTTGTTTGGCTAAAACTCACTCTACCACTGCGCCTCTAGCTCAGGTTTGTTTGTTTGTTTTTATTTTTAATTTTATTATTTAAAAAGAGGTAGCTGAGTAAGAACAGCACCACACATGTGGTATTCAGGTAAGGGGTAGGTTTATTCATCGTTCCGGCTGGCACCAGGCCATCTTAGTCCTCCATCCGGTGGGGGAAGAGCTAGAAAAGAGAAAAGAGCTGGAAAAGAGAGCATCTGGGAAAGAGGTGGGAAAGAGCAAGCTAGGAAAGAGAAGAGAGCTGGCAAAGAGAAGGAAAGAGCTAGAAAAGAGCAGAGAGAGCTTTTTTGGGGGATAGGGGGGGTTGTTGTTGTTTTGGAGATGGGAGTTGCAGACTTTTCTACCTCAGCAGACTTCAAACTGCAGTATTCCAGTTTGGACCCTCAGCTTACAATTTTTTAAGTGTGTGTGGGGGGGGGGGAGGGGTAGTACTGGAGTTTGGACTCAGGGCCTTGTGCTCTTGCTTAGTCTTTTTGCTCAAGACTTGCTCTACTGCTTGAACCACACCTACAGTTTTGCTGGGTAAGAAGCCCATGGATTTGTCTGCTCAGGCTGGCTTCAAATCAGAATACTTAGATCTCAGCCTCCTGAGGAACTGGAGTTATAGGTGTTAGCCACTGGCATTCAGCCAGTTGACAGTTTCATGAGCTGTTTCTCTGATTGGGCTTTAAGAGATACATCTACACTCCCAGCAAGTCAGCCTGGCTGTTGTCACATCCACCTCACACGCGTCTGCTGTCAGACCCTGGGGGCACAGAGACAACACAGCCCCACAGTCTGGAGGGAAAAGCAGTGGAAAGCACTGCTGCTGCACACAGGCCCTGTCCCATGTCTCCAAGGGAAGGCTTTGTGGAGCACAAGGCTAAGAGGAGTTCGATGAGGGCGGGCAGGAGTCTGATCAGTTAGTTAGCGGCTGTGAATGGGGAGCTGACAGGAACCACCTAGAGGTTTTGCCTGGAAGGTTCCCCACAGGGCTCTGACCCCAGGGCTCCTCATGGGCAAGAATGGCCCACTGCAGCTGTGTGAGGGAGGGCTTCTGACCTGAGTCCCCGGCCTTTGGGCTCCTCGGTGGAGGGTCGCCACTGTCTGGCGGTGATGACTCACTTGCCCTCACTGAGAACAAAGTTGGGTGATGAGAACCTTTGTTATGGACTCGAGTTCTGAGCCAGACAAGACCCTGCTACCTCTGGTGCAGAGCCACCCACCCTGCAGCCAGTGGGCTGGTGATGGCAGTTGCAGGCTGGGGGATCCTGAGTCCCTTGGGTTAGTTTTGAGGCCGGGGCAGAATGGGAGTTCAAGACAGGTCTGTCATTTGTTCAGCAAGAGTGTGTGCTCTGTAGCAGGCACTCCCTGAACAGGGTTCTGTTGGTCACCCTCACCCCCAACCACTGGGGGCAAGAAGTGATGGGTGTGCAGGAATGTGAGTACGGAGACTGCAAGGGCGGGGGGGGGGGGGGTCCCACGAACCTCCCCTGGGAAGGGGAAGGAGGGCAGATGGCAGGACTACGGTGACGTCACACCTGTGTCTCTTTAATTGCCCGTGGGGAGCAGGCCTGGTAACTTGGTGGAGGAGACTGCTGGCCAGAGGAGAGAAGATGCCATGAAATAGTGCTTCGCGGCTGGTGATGGCCTGGGACGGAGCAGGAGAGTTAGGAGTGGAAAGGGAAGGGGGAGTTTTCATAATCCTGGTTTCTTCACTTTAGAACATTAGGAGAGTAGAGCGTAGGATGACAGCAGTGTGTGCGTGCGTGCGTGCGTGCGTGCGTGCGCGCGTTCAGGAGAACTGATTCCACTCTCCAGCCAGCCAGTCTCGGGCTGGAGGTGAGGAGTGGTGCACTCGTTTCTAGGAGAGCCACCACACACAAAGGGTCGCCAGCCCCAAGTCCTCACCGCAGGGTTTCCGTGTACCCAGCCTTTGCTCTCCCAAAGGAAGTTTGGCGTTGTGGCGGGGATCAGGCTCATAAGCCATGATCCTCTATGGTCCATGTAGAAAGACGGATGGCTGAGCATGCAGAACATCCCCTGAGCCCACAGGAGGGGCGGCTGGCACTGCGTGGGGGCACAGGAGTGTATCCAGGGAGTGGGAGGAGTGCTGGTGGAGGGCAGCCAGCGCCCAGGCCAGTGAGAGCAAGAGGGACACGTGCCACACAGCATGTCGCCAGACGATGGTGAGAAGCCAGACTGGGTTCAGACGCCTGTGCCGCCCTTACCAACCGTTGGCCCTTGACTAAGGGACCGCCGCTCTGCAGCCTTCCCTTGACTAAGAGGCCACCACTCTGCAGCTTGCTTTCTGCAGGGTTTTGGGTTTTTTTGGTTGTTGTTGTTGGCCTCACTCTGATTCATACCGACAGTCCTGTTTGAAGAAGGATCACAGTTCAAGGCCAGCCAATGAAGAAACCCTTAGCCTGGTACCCTGGCTCACACCTGTAAGCTCAGCTACTTAGGAGTTCAAAACCACCCAGGCAAGAAAAGTCTGAGAAACTCGTATCTCCAATGAATCATGAAAACCAGAAGTGGAGTTGTGGCTCAAATGATAAAGTGCTAGCTTTAAGCAAAAGAGCTCTGGGACAGTACTCAGGTCCTGACTTCGAGCTCCTGTACCGGCACACACAAAATAATTAAGACCCGCAGCTGAGTGCGCGTGGCTTACATCTGTAATGCTAGCCACTCTGGAGGCTGAGATCTGAGGATTGAGGTTCAAAACCTGCTGTAAGACTCTCATCTACAATTAACCACCAACAGACTGGAAGTAGTGCTGTCTTTGAGTGCTAACCTTGAGCAAAGGTTCAGAGACAGCTCCCTGGACTTAAGTTCAAGCCCCATGTCCACCCCCCAAAAAAACCAACCAAACAACAACAATGAGACCCTAGCTAAACTAATGACCAAAAGCCAGGATAAAGGTGTGGCTCAAGCAGTAGAGTGCCAGCCTAGCAAGCATAAGGCCCTGAGTTCAAACTCTAGTACCCGCAGAGGGAGGGGTGGCTCCTGATACAGCATGTTTTTCTTGTCACTTGTAGCTTTTTGTGATCCACTGGGAACTAGAGCTGTAGAACTGGGGCTTAGCTGAGGGGTCAGGGTAGCGGCTTGTCTCCCCTCTCCTTCACTCCCCTCCCCCATCTCCTTTCCTTTCCCTCCCTAGAGAGAGCTCAGGGGCTTGGCTGACTGGTGAAAGCTTCCTCTGGCCCACCCATCTCTCCTGGGCTGGTGACAGCTTGTCTGTCCTTGCTCCACAGATCCGGCCCCACATCGCCACTCTACGCAAGTACACTTATGGCAAGCACATCTTGGCCAAGCTGGAGAAGTACTACATGAAGAATGGTGTGGACTTGGGGCCCATCTGTGGTCCCCCGAATGGTATTATCTGAGCAGTGCAGCCCATTCCCGAGCCCGCTGACCTCGCTGATCCCCGGCAGATCCAACCAGCAGCCGCAAGGGTCCTGAGGCCGGCGTCTCGGGCCAGTGGTTGCTGCAGGGTTGTGCCCTCCCAGAAACCAATCAACTCCGCAGGTGGAAAGCCTTTGTAAATTTAATTTTATTACACATAACATGTACTAATTATTTTTTTTAATTGACTAATTACCCTGCTGTTTTACTGGTGTATAGGATACTTGTACATAGGTGACCAATGTACATGGGAGGCCACATATTTTGTTCAATGTTGTATCTATATTCCATGTGAAGAAACTTTCAGGGTGGTTGGTTTAACAAAAAAAAAAAAAAGTTTTAAAAAAAGGTTTTTAACTCATTTGCCTCATGGGCAAGTTTTGCAAATAGCTCTTCCCCATCTCCTCATTTTAGTAAAAAACAAAAACAAACAAAAAAAAAACCTGGGAAGTTTGAATTTTAGTTAAATGGCCATAAAGTGGCATTTAACAATTTAACACTTTATAAAAAAAATCGGTATATATATATATATATATATATATATATACATACATACATATATATGTATATATAATGAAAATGTTTCAGAGTTGCTAAAGCCTCCATTTATGACATTGTTGATGAAACTTGCCAGCAACTGCTCTGCTGGAGACTGCGCTGGGCTGACGGCGGTAGTCCGGCCACTGGGGAGGAGCCGGCCCGGGGACGCCGAGGCCGAGGCAGGGCCGGGCCGGGCCGGGCCGGGCCAGGCCGGGCGCATTGTTTACTGCCTACTGGATTTTTTTCTGTTAACATGGAAAGGCAAAATCTGATTCTTTTAGCATGAGAAAAAAAATCCAACTCTGCTTTTGGTCTTGCTTCTATAAATACATAGTGTATACTTGGTGTAGACTTTGCATATATACAAATTTGTAGTATTTTCTTGTTTTGATGTCTAATCTGTATCTATAATGTACCCTAGTAGTCGAACATACTTTTGATTGTACAATTGTACATTTGTATACCTGTAATGTAAATGTGGAGAAGTTTGAATCAACATAAACCCGTTTTTTGGTAAGAACAGAGAGTTAGCCAGCCCTGTGCACTCAGTGTATATTCTCACCTTTTATGGTCGTAGCATATAGTGTTGTATATTGTAAATTGTAATTTCAACCAGAAGTAAATTTTTTTTCTTTTGAAGGAATAAATGTTCTTTATACAGCCTAGTTAATGTTTAAGAAGATAAACCTAGCTTGGTTTTATTTGTCGGCTAGTGAGGCGGTAGCAAGATCCTTTCTAAATATTATTCAGGATGACTCAGTTCACACTATAGTGGGTTTTTGTTTTTGTTTGTTTGTTTCTTTTTTACCCTACAAAAGTAATGTTTTGCTTATTTTGTGACAGTCAAAAGGACGTGCAAAAGTTGAGCCCTGCCCAGCCTTCCTACAATCAGAGCCCTCCACCCACCTACCTGTAAAGTGTGAACTGCCCTTTCTTTTTGTACAGAAGATGAACTGTATTTTGCATTTTGTCTACTTGTAAGTGAATGTAACATACTGTCAATTTTCCTCGTTTGAATATAGAATTGTAACACTACGCGGTGTACATTTCCAGAGCCTTGTGTATATTTCCAATGAACTTTTTTGCAAGCACACTTGTAACCATATGTGTATAATTAACAAACCTGTGTATGCTTATGCCTGGGCACCTATTTTTTGTAACTCTTGTGTAGATTGTCTCTAAACAACGTGTGATCTTTATTTTGAAAAATACAGAACTTTGGAATCTGAGTTTGCACTTTATTTTAATCTCCCCTTTCCCTGTGCCTCTTTCTGCTTACTGGGTGAGGGGATGGACAGGTAGAGTATAAGTAAAGGGCAGCAGTGTCAAGCCCATGGCTGTTCCGCTTCATGGGACACGATGTTGGTTTTGGCCTGCCCAAGGGCTTTCAAGGGCTGAGAAGGTGGCTCAGTGGTAGAGCACTTGCCTTGCATGCCTGAGGCCCTGGGTTCGATTCCTCAGCACCACATAAGCAAAAAGAAAAAAAGCCAGAAGTGGCGCTGTGGCTCAAGTGGTAGAGCGCTAGCCTTGAGCTGAAGAGCGGAGGGACAGCACCCAGGCCCAGAGTTCAGGCCCCACGACCGGACCCCCCCCCCCCCCCCCCAAAAAAAAAAAAAATTCTAAAATCCAAGGGCTTTCAAAATAAAGACTGTCTGCACGAAGCTCAGGCTCCACCGTGGGTTGGGTCTGCACAGTCATCTTCCTCTAAAAGCCTGCCCCGTCCTCTCTGGGTTTTTCTATTTGTGTCGTCTGTGTTCTGACATTTGCCTGTAGTCTGGTCTCAGAAGCCTGTGTCCTGTTTCTCATGTAAGGTGTTTGAGCTCTGGCAAAGTGGAGAAGTTAGCCACTGTTATGCCAGGCACTAATGTGCTGGTGGTCTTGCTTTCCCCTGGCCTGCTCACACTTGGGACTCTGGGGTTTTTCTTTTTTTCTTCTTAGTGTCTCATCTTGTGTATGTTTCAGTGGTGGCGGAGAAGAAAACTTGGTTAGAAATGTGACTGTTGTCACCCTTCTTATTTCCAGCCTTACCCTCTTCGAGGCCTGGTTGGTTTAATGCAACGCCTCACCTGGTATTTCTGAGACCAGACCCAGTTTTCTCTATAAAAGGGGAGATAGACTAGTACCTTTGTGCAGACTAGTGAGATTAAGTTCTGTAACTTTGACTAGCATCCAGCTAGATACAACCAATGGCCGTTTTTTTTTTTTTTTTTTTTTTTGTCGGTCTTGGAGCTTGAACTCTGGGCCTGGGCGCTGTCCCTCAGCTCTTCAGCACAAGGTGAGCACTCTACCACTTGAGCTACAGCGCCACTTCCAGTTTTCTGAGTGTTTATTGAAGATAAGAGTTTCACGCACTTTCCTGCCGGGCTGGCTTTGAACCGCAATCCTGATATCTCAGCCTCCCGAGTAGCTAGGATTACAGGCGTGAGCCACCGGCGCCTGACTTAATCCTCTTTTAAATCAACTGTTTTGGAGAAGCTTTTTCAACAAGTGGTTTGCAGTCTCAAAGCAAAAATACACTCTTCCTTTTTTTTCCTTCTTTTATCTTCACCCAATATCTACGCATAGATCTAGGTGAGTAAAAGAACTAGGGCCTGGCATGGTGGGACAGTCCCATAATCGCAGCACTCTGGGAGGTGTAGTTTGATTACTTTCAGGTTGGCCTAGGCTACAAAGTAAAACCTTGTCTCAACACTTCCAGCAGTCCCCGCCCCTCCCTTCCTATTATAACACCCGCAGGAAGTAGTTCCACGTGCTCTGGCACTGTTTCCCACAGCAGCGCTGCAAAACAGGCAGATATCCCCATCTCAAACATCTGGAAGCCAAGGATCAGGCTTCTGCTGCATCTTTGATCAGATCTGCTCCAGCCTGCGGCTTTGGTTTGAGACCCATGCTTGCTGTAAGTTGGTAACCAAGTGAAGGTTTTATCTGAGGCCTCCTGACTCCCAGTAGAGTGTTCTGTTGATGCATCTTGCTCTTGACACCTTCTATGACACCTAGGAGGCCCCACCTCTCCTGAGGTTGATGGAGAAGAGTTTGAAGCATGTTCTTGAAGAAGGAAACCTATGGGCTGGGTATGTGGCTTAGTGGTAGAGTGTTTGCCTAGCATGCATAAAGCCCGATTCCTCAGTACCATATAAACAGAAAATGCTGGAAGTGGTACTGTGGGTCAAGTGGTAGAATGCTAGCTTGAGTAAAAGAAATGTGGGGACAGTGCTCAGGCCCTGAGTTCGAGCCCCAGGACTGGCAAAAAAAATTAGGAAACCTGTGACTTCATGTAGTTACTAGCTGTGGCCACATGAGGGTGCTGCACCCTAAAGCAAACACTTGGCCAGTAGCCCTAGCCCTTCAAGTTGGAAGGTCCAAGGTTGGGCTGGCTTTCCTGGTACCTGAGACTCCTGACTCGCACAGAGAGCGAAGTCTGGCTTTGCCCTGAAAAAGCTTCAACCCTCGAGTTCTCTGGTGTGTAGTGCTGCTGTTGTGGAGTCTTGGCCTACAACAAGGCCTTGTCCAAGAGGGAAGTATGAGTCTGGGTCACAATGCACTGTAGTAACCTTCAACTAGAAGGAACTGAGTGCTGCTAGCACCCCACCCCCAGATTAATGTGCAACACACACCGGTCACTTTAGAAGCTGAGTCTCCGGACACCTGCAGCGCCCTGACTTTAGCAATCGAGATACCACCTCAAGCCGGGCGCAAATTCTAGCCACTCAGGAGGCTGAGAGCTGAGGATCATGGTTCAAAGCAACTCATCTCCAATAAACCACTCAAAAAAGCCAGAACTGGTGCTGTGGCTCAAATGGTAGAGCGAGCCTTGAGTACAAAGAGGCTCAGGCAAAAAAAAAAAATAGGAAGATACCCCAGCTACCCCCTACTTCCTTAGGGGACTGAAGCTCCACAAAGAACAGTGACTTAGGGGCTTGCCTGGCGCCCGGGGCCCCTGAAGCCATCTCTGATCAGCTTGCTGAGGAAAACCTCACCCAAGGCTAGGCTGAAGGTGCCAGACCCCAGAACTTGGCCACAGGCCTCCTCTGATGTCGATTGTGTCTTGGGGTGAGTAGAGGGGGCTGATGGATAGAATTAGCCACTAGCACAGAGCAGTTGGGGTGCAGTTACATGTTCAGTATCTGCCTGCCAACCTTCCATGTTAACTCAATGCCACAACTGCCCAGCCCGGCGCCTCGGAGCAGAGATGGTGATCCTAACAGTCCTCCAAGCCCCAACTCAAGTCAGGGTATACACCTCAGTGGCGACTAGGCCCATGTGTGGGTAGTGTACTGGGCATTCTGAGTCCTGTGTGTGACCTTGGATGAGCAGGTAGACGATCTGTGGCCATCAGAAGTAAAAAAAAAAAAAAAAACCTGTCAAGAATTTCCGGCCTGTAATCCTAGCAACTCAAGGAGCTGAGATCTGAGGATGGAGGTTCAAAGTCAGCCTGGGCTGGAAAGTTGGTGAGACTCTTGTCTCCAAATAACCAGCAAAAAGCCAGAAGTGAAGCTGTGGATCGAGAGGTAGAGCACCAGTCTGGGAGAAAAAAAAAAAAGAATTGTGCCAGGGCAGAAGTGAGACTCCTGCTTTCTAGTCTCAGTCCGTCCTGTCTCTCTCTGGGCTTCACTTTCCTTACCTGTAAAATGGGCAGATGGGACTTACAGGCAGCAGGACGAGGCTGGGCATGCTCTGCCCGCTCTCATGGCTGACGAGCTTCCAGAAGTCTCCGCCTTCACTCACAGGCTGGGTGCGCCAGCCTCCCCAGGCCTGCCCGCCACAGCGCACGCCACCACCATCATGAAGCCTTCCTAGATTCCTTCCTCTCTTCCCGCCCTGGCCTCTGACTCTGTTGACCTTGACCCCATGTCTGGCTGTGGGGCAGGTGACCATTTGGAGGAGAAAAACAAATCGCTGTAAAACGAAATCAGGCTGTCTGCAGTCCCCGGCCTTGTTACCAGGTGTGCATGTGTGATCCCTTGGGATCAGGGGCAGATTAGGTGCCAAGGTACCCACTGTCTCACCCTACCCTAGCTGGAGGTCCCTCTCCCCTCAGGGAGACCGCTCCCCCCCGCGCCCCCCCGCCCCCTCCCCCCTGCTCCTCTAGCCTGAGCAGAACCTGAGCCTGCCCCACCAGGCATTGCTCAGAACCCGGCTTGCTCCTCTCTCCCCCTTGGGCCCTGAACGCTGCTGGCTCCTCTGTCTGTCTGTCTTCAGCTAACAGCCCCAGGAGATGCCTAGCCCCTGGCGCTAACCCCATGCCAATGGCCGTGCCCCCCCCAAGGGTGTCCTCCAGGCCCCTGCTTTGGCCAGCTCTGGGATTGAGATCCTCCCTCCAGGTCAGCTTCCTGGGTGGTCTGTGCCCCACCCCGGGCCCTCCCACCAGCCCACAGCTCCCATACACGGGGTTGCACAAGCTCCACCGGAGCCCGAGGCTCCAGCTCACCCCCAAACTGACTTCAGAGGGCTCTTGGTGTCTCCCCATCTGGAGTAGTCTTGCCAGGACCTGCTTTTACTCCTGGGTTTGGGGGCTCCCTGTCCCTCCCCATCCAGGGCTGCTGGTACCCCCCTCCCCCGATTTTCTCAGAAGCAAATGAGTTGGGGGTAGGAGGTGGGGGCCCTGATGCCGCTGTGGGGGGAGAGGCTGGGGTGGGGGTGGGGTGGAGATGGCCACAAGGGATAGGAATGTGTTTCCCATTCCAGGACCTGGCAGGCCTTGAGTGTGTTAGGATCATGAATCCCCCCCCCCCCCCCCCCAGGCCTCTGGGCTTCGCCACACTGCTTCATTGCAATTGGGGCTCACTTATTTGCTGGCTATGAGACAAGTGGCAAGGGACTCAATTTCTCTTGAGTCCCAAATTCCACCCCTACTGAAGAACAGGGAGGAGCTCCCATTGGGCTCAGCCTCCCAGCCCTTCCTTGCTGGGTCTTCTGTGCCCGCCCCCTCCGCTGCTTTCTTAGGTCCAGGAGGCCCAGGCCTGCCAGGGTGAGGTTGGGGTGGAGAGATGGCCACTGGGCATGCTGGTGGGAACTGGAAGGGTGCCAGGCAGTTTCTGAGATTGTCCTTGGGCTGGTGTGTGACTGTCATTCATCAAACACTTCCCAGCACACCTCTAGTGCTGGAGATACTGTTGAGAGTCGGGTCAGAGACTGGCTTAGGTTGGTTTGGCTTTACTTGGGGAGAAGGGCCTTGGTTTCTCATCTGGAAAATGGGGATGGGGCTACGGGAATGTGGTGTATAGACCCGGGTGGGGCCCAGGACCAACTCCGAGCTCTAGCTACTGTTCTCTATGGATACTGAAGTGCTCCCACACTGAAAGCAAGGAGTGCAGGATGGGTGTGATCAGGGTGATAGGCCAGGACAGGTCAGTTCTGCTCACTCTGAGCGAGTTGGGAGGGCTTCTCGGAGAAAGGTGATTTTGTGGTACAACGGGGAGGTGAGAGTTGTGTCAGGAGAGGTGCCAACAGGTATCTAGGTAGTTGGGAGTTGCCCCTGGGGGGGGAGACCCTGGGTGTACTAGCGTGTGACTTGAGTGTAGATAGGTAGGCCCAGGGAGGGTGACTGGGTGAACTTACAACGTGACCTTCAGGGAACGACCCCCCCCCCCCAGGCCCAGGGAGGATGGGCTGTCTGAGGGGCTGCACAGTGCCATAGACAACCAGCAGGGGGCGCTCCTAGCCTGACCAATGATTTCCATAGAACTTGCCAGGATGGTGACCCTACCAGAAGGGCAGAGCTATGATGACCACACACACACACACACACACACACACACACACCCCGAAGCCTTGCTCACTCCCCAAGGCAAGGCGCTCCCTCTCTCCCTGCCATCTGTAGCCAGCTCCACTTGTTCCAAAACCCTTGGTGCCCCCGGTGGATGTGTGGCTCCTTGGGCCGCCTGCTTGAACCTCACTGGCCCCTTTGGGGTCTGTTAGCTGGAGACAGACAGACAGCCCTTTGGGGGCTCCCCAGAGCCAGTGTATCCCCGGGTCTGCTCAGGTTCTGGTGCCCACACCTGGGATCCTTCCTTTATAACTATCTTCCCAACCACTGCTGTCCACCCCTCATGCCCAATGCAAGGTCTAGAGAAGCACCCCCAGAGCCCAGCCTGCGCTGCACACAGTAGGCCCCCAACTTACACTCGCATGATCATGATCATTGTATCATGCTCAGGAAACAGGCCCAGCGACACAGTTACACATCCCGTGTAACACAGCCGATCACTGGGATTTGAACCCTGGTACAGCGGGTATAACCCAACAAAGAGCTCCAGCTCCCAGCTCTGCTACCTCTGCTAAGGCCAGCTCCCCATCTGTGCAACCCACCAACCTCTCCCCCCACCTCCTCCTCTTTCCTCCTCCTCCCCCCCACCTTAACAGAGCTGTAGCTTACCTTGAACTAAAGTCCTTTGGACACCCCCCCCCCTCCAAGATTCTGCAAGAAAAGCCAGGCATCGCCTGATACCCCAAGACTGTCTCTGCTCCCCAGGTTCGGTTCCTCCCAGCCTTCCCCTCTGGACCCCCTTTGGGTCTGCTCCACGCACCTTTCCCTGGTCTAAGTGTTCATTTCCAATCCCTATTTCCTTTTGGCGTCTCTGGTGGGGAGCTGGGACCCAGGGTCGGGAGGGGGGGGGGGGCATCTGAATCACCAGCACCAGCCAGCACCAGCCAGCACCAGCCAGTCACCTTTCCTCACCCAGCCTCAGTCTCCCCAGCAAAAGAGGCACGGGCAGCACCACCTTCGTGGAGGTCTTGGAGGGTGACTGGAACGCCAGGCGCGGAGGGCGGCGGAGGGCCTCACCGGCTCACACCTCGGGGTGCGGGGGTGCTCTGGGGGCTGGGGAGCAGCCTGGGGCCGGCGCCCTGGGTGGCCAGGCCTGGGCTAGGGGCGAGGGCAGCAGGCTCTGCCTTCACCCTCCAAGCCAGGCAGAGCGGAGGAGGAGGAGATGCGGCGCAGAGACCGCAGGGCCGGGACCGGGTCTGTGCACACCGCCCGGCCGGCCATGGTGGCTCCACGGTACCCAGAATCCGGCTCTCAGATCGGAGGCTCAGGGAGGGCTGGGAGGAGGCGGGCCGGCCCAGCGTGTCCAGCGCCCACGCGCCCACAGGCGGGCCTAGAGGTTCTCCAAGGCACAGAGCGCAGGCTGGCTGGGTGCGGGTGGGGCGGGGCGGTGGGGGCCGCAGGGGCGGAGCGGCGCCCCTTTAGGGGTACCGATGATGGTACAGGGGCCAGGCGGGGTCGTGCCGCGGGGTCGCTGCGCAGGCCCCAGCGGGGGTCACCGGGGTCTCGGAGCCCCCGGGAGACGCGCGGGGTCGTGGGGTTGCGGGGTCTCCCGGACCTGGGAAAGTTTGGGGTTCACCAGACTGGACGCAGGGCCAGAGGATCGCGGGGTTCCGGGGCGGGGCTCACGCCCTGGGAATCGCGGGGTTAGTTCTCGGGGTCCTTGGGATGGGGGTCTCCGGGGAATTTTGTGGCCCCCGGGTCGGGACGCGGGGTCATGGAGTCTGGGGTCCCCGGGGCAGGGTCAGGTAATGGTTTGGGGTCCCTGGGCGGGGTCTCCGGGGAAGATCTTGGGGTCCCCGGGGCGGGGTCATGGGGTCTGGGGTCCCTGGGGTAGGATCAGGTGGTTTGGGGTCCCCGGGCGGGTTTCGGGGAAGATCTTGGGGTCACCGGGCGGGGTCTCAGGGGTTCTCTGGTCCCTGGGGCGGGGTCAGGTGCTTTGGGGTCCCCAGGGCGGGGTCTGGGGGTTTCTCAGGGTCCCTGGGGTATTGTCAGCTGTTTTGGGGTCCCCGGGGCAGGATATCCGGGGAGGGGTTCTCGGGGTCCCCGGGGCAGAGTCAGGGGTTTGGGGGGGTCCCTGGGGCGGGGTCTCCCGGGGTCCCCGGGGCGGGGTCGGAGGTTTGGGGGGGGTCCCTGGGGCGGGGTGCCGGGGTTGGGGGTCCCCGGGGCGGGGGTTTGGGGGGTCCCCGGGGCGGGGGCGGGGTCAGGGGGTTGGGGGGCCCCCGGGGCGGGGCGCGGGGCCGGGGGGGTTGGGGGTCCCCGGGGCGGGGGCGGGGGCGGGGTCAGGGGGTTTGGGGGGTCCCCGGGGCGGGGGCGGGGTCAGGGGGTTTGGGGGGGTCCCCGGGGCAGGGGCGGGGTCAGGGGGCTTGGGGGGGGTCCCCGGGGCGGGGGCGGGGTCAGGGGGTTTGGGGGGGGGTCCCCGGGGCGGGGGCGGGGGTTGGGGGTCCTCGGGGCGGGGTCGGGGGGTTGGGGGGTCCCCGTGGCGGGGGCGGGGCCGGGGGGTTGGGGGGCCCCGGGGCGGGGGCGGGGTCAGGGGGTTTGGGGGGGTCCCCGGGGCGGGGGCGGGGTCAGGGGGTTGGGGGGTCCCCGGGGCGGGGGCGGGGCCGGGGGGTTGGGGGGCCCCGGGGCGGGGGCGGGGCCGGGGGTCGCTCTCCGCCCGCCCCGCCCTCCTCCCCCGCCCGCGCGGGGGGCGGCCCGGCGGCGGCGGCGGCGGCGGCGGCGGCGTCGCACGCTTCCTGCGGGCGCGGCCGCTGTGGGCGCGGAGCCGCGAGCGCGGCGCGAGCGAGGCGGAGCCGGCGGCCGAGCGGACCCCGAGCCACAGCGTCGAGCGCCGCCGCCGCCGCCGCCGCGCAGCCCCGCCGCGCCGGAACAAAGGCCCCGCCGCCGCCCGCGCCGCCGCCATGAAGCCGGGGCCGCCGCGCCGCGCCGGGGCCGCCCACGGGGCCGCCGCGGGGACCGGGGCCGCCGCCGCCGCCGCCTCCGGGGCCCGCGGGCTGCTCCTGCCGCCGCTGCTGCTGCTGCTGCTCGCGGGGCGCGCCGCTGGGGTGAGTGCCTCCCCGGCCCCCGGCCCCCGCCGCGGGCCCCGCGCCGCCCTCCGCGGCCGCCCGGGCGGTTGGGGTGGGGGTCGGGTCCCCTCGCCGTCCCCGCGGCGCCGGAAGGGCCTGGCGGGCGCGGGGTCGCGTGCGGGCCGGGCTGGGTGTGTCCGGGCCTCGTGGGTGTGCGCACTCCGCGGCCGGCTCCCGCGCCGGGTGGGGGGCGCGCGTGGGCTGATCGCCGGCTCCCCCCCTACAGCGGCCGGCAGGGCGGCGAGGGGGTGATCGTGAAGGTGACCCGCGGGGTGGGGGGGCGGTGACCCCGCACGCCCACGGGGGACCTGGGTGCGGGACCTGCGGGGCGGGAGCGCGGGGAGGCCGCGGCCCCGCGTGGCTGGGCCGCCCCGCCCCCACCGTGCCCTGGCCGTGGGGGGGCCCCTGGGTGGGCGTGTGCGCGCGTGTGCCGGGCTGTGGACGCTGTGCGTGTGCGCGCGCGTGTCCGTGCGGGCGTGCCACGCGCGCGTGGCTGGGCCCGGGGCCCCCGAGGGGTGCGCGGGCAGAGGCCGAGCGGGCGCACGGCCGTGGGGCTGAGCCGGGTCGTCCCTGTGGGGGACCCCGGTCCCCCGCGAGCTCACCCCCCCCCACACTGCACACGTCCGGATTCTGTGCTGGCGGCGGTGGGCTGGAGATTTCTGGGTCACACCCCCTTGCTTCACCCCAGGAACAATGCTGTCCTCTCTTGCCAGGCTGAAAAGACCCCACCCTTTTGGGGGACCCCATTGCCAGCCCAGCGGCCATTCTGTAGTGGGGACAGGTGTGTGTGGGGAGGGTGGGGGGCTCCTCTGTGGCTTCCCGGACCCCCAGGCTCCTCCGGCTGTGGGAAGTTGGGGGCAGACCCGCGGAGGGTGCCTGGTGTGTCCAGGTTTTACAAGTGGGGCGAGGAGGAGCCCCCCCTCCCCCGGGTGTGGGGTCACCTCGTCCATGGCCGTTTTAAGAGGCCCTTCCAAAAAAAAAGACAAACCGAAGGCTTGGAACGGCAGTCCTGGCTTCACAGCCATGCGTGCTGTGGTTTGGGGGAACAAGTCATCCTAGCTGTCTGAGCCCTGGGGTCCCCTTAGTGAAATGGGGGTGCTGACACCCTCCCCAGAGGAATGGGACCGAAGCACTCGGGAATGGAGCGCAGAGGATGGGGGACAAAATGTTTTAGCCCCTGGAGGTCCGTTCCACCCAAGAGCAAGGCCAGAGTCTGAGGCCTCCGGAGGTGTGGGGGGACCCGGGGCCTCCACGGGCAGTGAGCACCCTGCATCAGGTGGGCCGGGGTGGGGCGCAGGGTACGGTCCGGAGGAGGTGGCTTGCTGCCCCAGGGGCCAGGCTGCTGGGGGAGGGCATTGCCTGCCTCTCACCTGGGAGTTAGAGGGTTAAGAGGTGGAGCCTGGTTGCCTGGATGCTGCCAAGAGAGGGTGGCACCCGAGACTAGAGGCTGGCGGGGGCTCCGAGGACATCCTGGGATGGGCCTTGGCTGGCTTCGAGCGAGCGGAGGGACGAGATGACCCCTGGTCCGCCCTGTTAGCCTTCAGGGCGTGTGGGATGGATGGCTGGGGGCGGGGGCGGGGGGAGGAGGCCACGTGTCTCCTCGGGCTGTGGGTGGTGAGTGTGGGGAATCCCAGCATCTGTCCTGAGGGACCAGGGGACCAGGGCCCCCCACAGCGTCTTCAGAGGACACGTCCTCCCGGACACGTTCGCATGGGACACGTTCTTCCCCAAGTCCAGGTCTGGAAGGCCAGTGCTGTGTGTGCTGCTTAGTGTGACTTGAAGCCTCCCCATGGCAGGAGTTTTCTAGTTGGTGGCTGTGTGGCTAACGAAGGTCACTTCGCCTCTCGGAGCCTTAGTTGCTTCCTCTGAGAAATGGGGGTGTGGGAGTGGAGGGAAAGCTTGGAGCGCCCCGCGAATGTGCAGTGTGTGGCTGTGATGGGGAGTGGAAGGTGGCTGTGTGTGGGGAGGTCCTTCAGCACCCCTTCTGTTCCTCTCTGCATCCAGCGCCCCGCCCCCTGCAGGCTGTTCTGATTGGCTGGGGGTGGGGTTGCCTGGTAGGGCTGTCCTCAGGGTAACCGTGGAAGGTGGGGGACCCGGGACTATTGCAGGCCAGGTTGTGAGTTGACCCTCAGTAGGGTGGTTGCCCCTGGGCTGCAGACACCCACTGTGGGACCTGGGGTCCCCTGGGTGAGTGGCGTGGGAGGGTGTCCTGGAGGAGGCAGCTTCTGCCCTGCCCCTCTGCCCTCTGGGGACAGATCCTTGTCAGGGGACAGCTGTGGGGTGGTGGCTGCTTGGGAGGCGCCCAGCTGGGATTAGAAGCTGGGGCCCGCTGCTCTCTGGGGCGGGGTGTGTTTCTTCTTGGTCCCTGTGTCGGGGTTGGTTGCAGGTGAGCTCAGCTGGATTGGGTACCGTGTCCCCAGGGTGGCCCAGGGTGGGGCTGCTCTGGGAAAAGCTGGGCCAGCAGTGAGCAGGGTCACGCACCTCCCTGGGAGGAGGTGGAGAAGGCTCTTCCAAGCAGGGCGGGCAGCCAGTGTCCCTCCTACCCCCAAAGTTGTTGGGGGAGAGGGCTGGGCCATTTTCCTGAGGCTACAGTAGGGTACCTGAAGGCTGGAGCCCACTGGGCCATCTGGGGACAGGAGGCTGGGAGTCTCCATTCTCGGCTGGCAGGGCCGGGCAGGGCTTGGAACAGCTCCACACCTCTCAGGGCTAAAAAACTGGGCTGCCAGCAGCCCTGCCCGCCCAGAGCACCTCAGCACGTGCTTTGTTATCTGGTCCTGAGGACACTCATAATAAGATGACGCAGGAGTGATCCATGATCAGAACCCCCATTTTACAAATGAGGAAACTGAGGCACAGAGAAGTTAAGTGACACGCTTCCAGGCACAACCAGAGTAGCTGGATTGAGGCAAGACCTGGCCACAGCCCCAACTCCACACCCTCTTGCTGTGTAATCTGAGGCAATTTATTTCATTTCTCTGGGGCTTCCCTCCTCGGAACATGATCCTCCTATTAACTACTGTCTGTGTGTTCATTGTAATTTTGTTTTCACTGCTGAGATTTGAACTCAAGACTTTGCACTTGTTAGTCAGATGCTCAACCATTTGATTCATGTCTCCAGTTTTGTTTTTTTTTTTTCCGTTATTTTTTGGATAGTGTCTTGCAAGTTTTGTCAGGGGGCCATTCTTCTGCCTGTCCCTTCTGAATAGCTGGGATTACAGTCGTGAACTATCATGCCTGCTTTCTTTTGTTGAGTTGGTGACTGGGTAACTTTTTTGGCCAGACTGTCCTCAAATTTGCATTCTGTCAGTCTCTGTTTCGGAGTAGCTGGGATGATAGGAGCTAGCAAGCCAGTTCCATTATTACTATTATTATTGTTGTTGTTGTAACTATTATTTCTATTAGAGACAGAGCTTACTATGTAGCCTAGGCTAGCCTCAAATTCAAAATCCTCCTGCCAGGGCTGGGAAGGTGGCTCAGTGGTAGAGTGCTTGCCTTGCATGCCTGAGGCCCTGGGTTTGATTCCTCAGCACCACATAAGCAAAAAAAATAGCACAAAATCCTCCTGCCCTAGCCTCCTGAGCATTGGGATTACACGCATTTGGTACCATACCCACTGAGGAGATACTGTTGTCTTTTTAGCTGGCAGGGTGTCTCTTCTCTAATTCTGGCAATGTCTTTATGTTAAGTGGCAAGTTGAAAACGGGGAGAAGGAGCTACTTGCAGCTCTCATTCTACAACTCAGACTGTGGCATATATAAAAGGGTGACTCTGAGGACTCTGGGGGCCGAGGTGGGAGAGAGCTTTGTGAACTGTGCAGGTTGTGTGTGAGGGGCTCACGTCAGCACCGCGTGGTCAGGTAGCACCGAGAGGAAGCGTTCAGAGTCTTTGGACAAGGAAGCTCCCTCCCCAGGGCGCCCTTCCCCCCCACCCATGTGCGCCCCCGCCCCAGCGTTGGGGGCCCACTCTGCACAGTGCCCAGTGCGCAGGTAGGGCTGCCCTGGCCTCCTCTGACCCTTAGAAAGCTGGGTGGAGCCTGGGTTCCGGATGCTGGCCCTGCAGCCTTGAAGATTTTCTCTGGCCTGACAGAGTGGGTGGAGAGAGACAGCATGCAGGGACCCCTAACAGTCCCGAGTGGCAATGCTCACACAACGCACTGGACCCCAGGGTCCATGCTGCACCTGGACAGATAGAAGGTTCAGATGGTGCCTGATGTGCAAAGACAGAAGGAAGCTGGACTCTCTAGCTGCCTTCCCCCTGCCCCCCCCCCCCCCCGCCGTGCAGCTGGGGGCCGTGAGGCTGGCAGGGTCCCGTTGTGCGTCAGGCGAGGGCTGTGGGCTGAGAGGCGCCAGGGCTGCACAGGGCAGGCCTGTGGGCTGAGCACCAGGGTGCTGCCACCGTGTCTGGCAGGGACCGAGTTGCTGCGGCTCTGGGCTGCAGCCCAGCTTTCCTGGAGCCCTGTGATTTTGTGTCTGGAAGGGGCAGGGTGGCCAGGGTTACGGGCTGCCCAGGCCCAGCCCCTTGCTCCTCCAAGCCTCCTGAACCCCATGCCAGCCAGAGCCGAGTCTAGGCTGGGCCTGGACCCTTGTGGACTTCCTCGGGCATAGCATTCCTCCACATTCCGGGAGCACCGGGCCTGTCGGCAGACAGCTCACTGGTCTTGGCTCTCAGCCGCCCAAGATTCCAGGCCAGGGAGCCTTCACTTCCGGCCCCCCTCTGTCCAGACCAGGCCCAGGCAGAGGGGTGGCCGCTCCCCTCCCCCACCAACTAGGCCCAGTCTCAGTGCCAAACAGGAAGCTGTGATTACAGGGGAGTCTGAGCGGCCCAGGCCACTCCTACCTGGCTGCTGAGGGAGGAGGGCAGAGACTGCCCATGCTGGCCTTGTGTACTACCCTCCATGACCCCAGCCTGCCTGCGAGGCTTTGCCTTCCACCCACCCTCCCTGCCCCCCTGCCGTCCTTGGTGCTGATGTCTGGGGCCTC